CGTAACTCTAAATCCCTAGTAGTATATCAATTAAACAATATTTATTCAACAAACACTCAACTAACCTTTGTTGTTGTGAGATTTGTCTCCAACAATTGTGTATCTCGTTCTCTTGTTCTTCTTTTCTTCAACACTTGATAACAGATGCAACACGGTGCACAGAAACACGCCACACAACAACACGTCAACAAGCCGACGATCAACGCGAACGTTAGCAACACCATTCTGAAATAGTTTCGTTTTTGGAATCATTGCTTCATACAAGATCTTTTAAGATTTCATTATTGAATTTCAATATTTATTTAAACTCACGATGTGACATTTGGAGCACAAGCTGCTTGTTGATGAGTGCCATCATTGCAGTGATCAGCGACATAGCATTGTCGGAAGAAAGAATCGCATCTAAGTTTTCATAAGTATCTAGGAAAACTTGCCTTAAACGTAAGAAAAAACTCTATTCAAATTTTTTTTGAAAGTAAAAATCGATAAAATATTGGGTTGGTGGAAAAGTCCTTTCCGGATTTTTTGGGAGAGTACCTTAAATTTGTCCAATTTTGACGTTTTATAGCTCATCCTAAAGCTGTTTGTGCAAACTTTGGCTGGAAAACTTTTTTTTAAAAACAAAAAAAAACGAGAAAAACGAAAGAAAATCGCGAAAAGCGGCGGAAAGGCTATTGATCTGAGGGTCGCTGGTTCGACTTCCACCGGTGACAATATTTTTCAAAAATTTTTTGCTAAGATTCTGAAAATGCGTGTCTAGGGGTTATTTTTGACGCTGATCACGAAACACATGTTTTTAGCCTAGATTTCTGCACGGAAAACTAACGAAACGTGAAAACAGCCATTTTTTGGCTCTACCGCCCTTTACTAAAATAGCTGTAAAAACTTTTAAAAAAGAGATATCTCAAAACGGTTTTTACCAATCGATCCGTCTTGAATTCAGCTTTAGGATGAGTTATAAAACGTCAAAATTGGACAAATTTATGGTACTCTCCCAAAAAATCGGAAAGGACTTTTCCACCAGCCCAATACAAGTGTTTTTCAGATTTTTTAAAACTCAGAACAATTACTAGAGCTAGCTAGAGCTTTTCAAAGGGTTAAACAAAAATCTTATTTACCAAGCGGTTAATTAACGGTAAAAATAACAAGCAATCTTTAAATAACAAGAAAATAACAGTTTAATTGTTATTAAGTTATGTTTTTCATTCACATACCTAGATAAGCAATCATCCATTTTCTCATAGCATGACACCCACATTCCAGATATCGATGACCCACCCTCTGCCGCATTTGTAAAAGAGAAACACGCTGAAATTGTTAATCTTTCTATTAATAATCTTTTAAAACGTTTTACCTAGTAATAATATTATTCCAATACCGGAAATCGTCATCATTTCTGAATTAAAAATTAATAGATTTATTTGTTCTTTGAAATCGTACAAAAAAACAAAAAAATATTTAGAAGAATGCACTTTTCGGGCGGTAAAAAGGGGTCAGTTAGAAAGGGGGATGAGCGATCAATGTTGGGGAAAGGGAATCGAAGGGAAGGGGAAAGTCTGCGTCTCTTGTTTGTATCTAGTCTATCTATTGTCTGAGTGTTGAGAAAGGAGCTCGAATGACTATCGTTTTGGACTCCTCATCCCAACAATGAGTAAGATTTGAGAAAATTATACGATGACTCAGGGTAGTTTTTATAAAATAGTTTTAACCACTAAGGCTATGCTAAGCAAGGCACAATTGTCGCTCATTAGAATGGTTGGTTCTTATAGTTTAAATATTTCTAAAGCCATTATGGATTAAGAAAAGCCAGCTTTTTAACAATTTAAACCTAAAGATCTAAAGATTATTTAAATTGCACAAATGAAGATTGACTTTAAAATATTGGGTTGGTCAATTGAAAACAGCCGGACTTTAAACTAAAATTTATTCAACATAAAACCATGAATTCATTCTAAATAATTTTTATTATTATTGACGACTTCTGCCCATTTTACAGGCAATTTGCGGATTCCTCTTTCGTAGTAGGATTTTGGTTTGTGTGTGAGACAAGTGTGAGACTCAAAAATGGAGGACTGGAGATGTCCCAATGTCCCAGTTTGAGCACTTTCTTCAAAAGAAACTCATTTTGATGTCAATAGAAAAGTTGTAGAGAATCAAAAATTAGACTTATAGCCAAATTTCCAAAAAGATACACTTAGTAGTTTCGCTTAAAATGCAAGTTTCGTGAAAGTTCGTAAATTTCGCATTTCTTGAAAACCAGTTTTTGAATCGTTCTGAAAATTTGGATATAAGCTTGATTTTTGATTCTCTACAACTTTTCCATTGACACCAAAATGGATTTCTTTTGAAGAAAGTGCTCAAACTGTGACATATGACAATAGCCCCACAGTTTTCAATTCACCAATCGAATGGATTGATGAGCTTTTAAGAGTTGTTTTATCGCTAGAACCAGTGGCTATCGTAGTCTTGTCATAGTTAACATAGGAACTTGTTTACATTATTAAGACTTATAAGCACAAGCTTATAATCCAGATCTGGATGAGACACTTGTCCTTCCTTTCCTAAGCTTGATTTTTGATTCTCTACAACTTTTCCATTGACACCAAAATGGGTTTCTTTTGAAGAAAGTGCTCAAACTGTGACATATGACAATAGCCCACAGTTTTCAATTCACCAACCCAATAGTTTGAATATTTCTAAAGTCCTTATGGATTAAGAAAAGCCAGCTTTTAAACAAACTAAATCTAAAGATCTAAAGATTATCTAAATTTTACAAATGAAGATTGACTTTAAAATGGAATTGAAGAAAAGATATATCTAGCTTTATGGCTTGCTTTTGGTTTAGCCTGGATTTTCATCAAAGAATTGCTAGTTCTATAAACTGGAGCTCGAATGACCCTGGAATAGTCTGGAATTTAGTTAAAGAAGCTCTAGAAACTTTGAGCATAGAATATTAAGGCTATCTAGACTCAATCTTTCATTCTTTAGATCACTAACTACGTAGATCTACGAAAATCAAGCCAAATTAAAATCAAAACCTTTTATCAGAGTTCAGTACCAACCCACTTCTTTCCGGCTTGTCCCGTTTGCTCATCTGCAGGTTTTTTTTGAAGCCAATTGCAGGAAAACGAACACCTCACACATCACAATGTCTCTTCACATATAATTCCTATGATATCGATGAATTTTCCTGCAAAACTTTTCTGGGTATTTTCTATTTCAATCAGTGCTTTCATTTTCCTTCTAGCTACTCAAAATTTGAAGTAATTGAAAAAACCACTTGAGCTATTAATTATAAAGTTTAGATTTGATTATTTTGCTTTTTCAAGACAAGTCATTTCATCAGAATATCCCGGTAAGACTCAGAACAAAAGAATCATATATTAAGAACTATATATTGTTGAATCACCGTGTTCTAGGCTCAATAAAATGAATAGCTTCAATCGATTTCCCAAATCCTAAAATCCCCGAGTGCAAATTTAAAATCCAATTTCTTCTTTTTATATCATTTATAAAGCAAAAGAGGATTCCTGTGTAAATGACTGGCGAGGTGTTCTTTGTGTACACAATCGCTCGCAATCTGGCAAACTCCTTCGGTATAAGAGGCTTCCATTTCGGCATCTTTTCGACATCCAAAAGGGGAAGAATTGGCTAGCTTTCCGGTTCTTCGGCGTCACTATGTCAAACCGGGAAAGCTTTAAACCCAAATTGTTTGTTTTTATTATTCTAGAGACTTTGAATCCGCTAGACCACTCCGCTAAAAACAGCAATCGAACCGAGAAAACAGTGCAATCCGAGTTGTCTTGATTCTCTCAGGATTAGTCCAATCAATCTCTATTTAGTCCAGTCCTCAGGATTGGTTAGTTCAATCAATCTCTATTTGATATCATTCGAAAGCCCGAAGTGTTCACGTTAAAAATATATAAAAAATGAACAATGATCACTAGTTATAAGCCAGTTATGAACCTTCAAAGCTTGTCTACTTATTCAAAAGTCTTTAACTGAGCCAATTAAACTAATATTGAGTTATTCATTTTCAGCTTTACTTCGAGAAAAGAAAATCTTCGTTTCCCTCTCCTCCACTCTCGATCTTCACTATCTTTCATTAATACCATTAAGCGTTTTAGCTTGGAGACAACTTGGAGTTGAAAGTTTGTTTAAAATTATTCTAATTTTGATTGTATAGTTGAATAGTACCCGTTTTCTACAATACTATCATTGCTTAATGGCTTTTCACATAAATTAACTTTCCTAGGTCTACTATGCTTGGTCGGGAAAGACGAGAATTTCTTAAAGAATGTGAAAACAGTACTTGAGCATGTCTTAACGAAAAATGTTACAATAACTTTGATAAAGGATGTCACATTACCTTCAACTACAATTGCTCAAGTAAGGAAAAGCTCTTTAAGTTAGTTTATTTTAAGTTTAGATGTGTAGAGTATTTGCAGCCACCTCGGAATCGTTGAATCTTCATGATGATTCAATAGTGATCACAAGTGATATCGATTATATTCCATTTCATCTCGAGAATCATTGGCGTGAGGGATTTGAGGTAAAAGTTAAAAACTTTAAAGCCATGTTGAGTAATAAATTTGAAGTCTAACTTTAGATTTAGACTTTTCTTTGTTACTTGAAGATCTTAAGGTTCAGCTATTCTTTTACAACTCTAGCTTTACTTTATTGTTCTTTGAATATCTTAAAGTTCTTTCAAAGCTTCTAACCTGGCTTCTGGCCATATTCTAACTTTATTTTTGTAAATAATCAAGTACTTTTCATTCTTAATCAATCAAATCGTTTCACTCATTTCCAGCTATTCTTTTACAACTCAAACTGTTGCCAATCAGTCGAATTTAAAGAAATTTCACTTAAAATGTACCCAATCTCAACAATTGCTATGAAGAGATCAATCTGGAGAAAAGTTTTGCGTAAGTTTAAAAACTTTTTCTAAAATCTAAAAAGTTTTAGCTTATTCTGAAAAAGTGTACAATGATTCTAGCAAAATGGAGAAATATTTATACTCAATTTTTGGTGAAGAGGCTTTTATGAATGAAGGTTAGTTTAGAAAAAGTCTACCTTAAATACTAAAGGATTATTACAGACTATCGGAAAGGAATCCTTGCTCAATTGCAACCTCAATGGCTTTTCGATCAGATTTTGATTTCCTATAAGATAAAGGAGTTCTTAGAAAGGTGCAGATGTTTCAAATTGTTGAAATTTACTGACCATTGCTTCTTCTAGAGGAGAATCTCCAAGAATCGGTCACGAAGTGGTGGTAAAAAAGCGAATTGATCGAGCATTTTGGCCATCACCAGATGAGTTACATAAAGTGGGCCTTCACCGTTTAAAAAATCTTCAAACCTCAACTAGCAAAGCCTAAATATCACTAACTGCTTTGCTTGATGTTAAATCAAAACCGAATGTTCATTCATGACTGGCGAGGTGTTCTTTGTGTGCGCGCACAAAGAACAAACAACCGAATGCAGTTCATCCATGAACATCTGCATTCTAAAGTCACACAAGTGCGTTATTCATGATTTATGATAGCTGAATCGTACTTAAAGTCGATGTTTTAAATTGAAATGTATAAATCCATGAATAACTTTTGAAATGTGGTAGAAAATCTATTATCAATCTATTATTAAAAGCTCTCTTTTTTTTCAGTTAAACCTCTCTGAACACTCAGATGCTCATATCTCACAAGATCTTCTTAAAGATTGGGACCGAGTTCGGCCTTTGTTTGAAAGAATATTCAGGTAAATATTTGCAAGATAACTTGAAATTCTCCAGTTTTAGCCGGAAACACATGATGTTAACAGATTTCTTTATTCATGAGCTTATATCAAAAAGTGTTCAATAAATAGATTGTATTTAATAAATCTTATTTCTGAATGACAATATGACTGATTGGAGTTACAGTGATTCGATCACTTGCAATGAGATGAATTGGGCGACGATAGGCACGAATGATGAAGAAAGAGATGAAAAAGCGAATCAGGGAAAAGATTAGAGATGATGAGGAGAAGACAATGAGTAATGGGATAAGAGAACGATAGGTGGATTCAATGGAGAATGGGAAAGTTGATGGGATTGTTGAGTTGACTTTTCGAGTTGTTGTACTGAAACCGGGATCTCCCACGTAGATGTCGGCCATTAAAATGCCTTCCGCTTGATCGTAGATGCCCAAATCGGTCTCCAAAAAGTAGAAAGGGATCTAAAAGATTTGTATAAAGTAATGAATATCTATTGAATACTGAATACTGAATACAAACTGGTCCTCAAAATCCCTTCCGCTGGGTGCTCAAGGATTTTAGAACATAATAGGATTTTAGTTTAACTTTTAAGAGCTTGTAAATTAAAATATTCTATCACATTCTAGGGTACAATGCAATAGGAATACTTATCGTGATTCAGGGATTCACCGTGGAGTGCTAAACTATAGTATGATAAACTTTAGTTTTTCAAAGTCAATCGTCAACTCATCAAAACGAGTTTCACCTAGATATAGATACAAATTAAGTATATTATTCGACACGAATAATGAATTACAATACAACGGAGGAAATTTTTGCCCCTAATTACCCCTATTGCCGAAGTGCTGTTAAAAAAAACCTATAATAACGAGAAAAAGAGCCAATCTTTCTAGCCGCCGGAATTGAACCCTAGGAAGGATAGTCTAGAAGCCTAAGGATAGCCTAGGAACCTAAGGATAGTCTAGAAACCTAAGGATTACCTGGAATAGCCTGAAGCCTGAAGGTCTGGGAATAACCTGAAAGTCTAGAATAAGCCTGGAAATCAGGTTCTGCTCTGACTGGGCCAAGTACTGGGCCAGTACAGGACTAAGTTTGAGTAACAATTGTAGCCACTCCAGATCAAAGAAAAAATCCAAAATAACGGGAAAAAGAACCAATCTTTCTAGCTGCCGGGATTGAACCTTTAACCCCCCGACTAGGAGACAAGACTCCGGTCGGCTACGGTCGGCTGTTTCTCAAATGTTATAATTTTGATTTCTGTACACAACTAGGGAACTTATCTACAACCTATTTCAATATACTTTTAGGTATATCATCAAAAGAGTTTGTTACCTTATGATCAATCATGTCATTTGTATCATTTAATAGGATAGTAGTCGTTGTTGTTGGAGTTGAAGTGGTTGAAGTGGTTGTTGTGCTTATCGTTGTATTCTCGATCATCGAGTTAGTCGAATTATTCCAACGATCAACTCGTCCTCGAAACTCTTGATCACTCTTGATACCCCAAGAGATAATTAGAGCCAGAATTGCGAGGTGCAAGATCACCACAAAAGCCTGAAATTAATATTTTTAAATCATAGCTAACAAAAAAAGTAGTGCAAAGTCGAGGTAAAGCATAGATCAGAATTGCAGATATTCTATAGTACTTTCTATAGTATTCTATAGTATTCTATAATACTTTTTACCAATTCGAGAATTTTAAAGATCAATCTTAAATCAATTTTAAAGCAATCTTTTAATTAAACCTATTCTGAAACTAGAAACGACATTTTGCTTTATTTCAAGGCCAGAACTTTACTCTCTATTTCTTTGTTTCAAAACCCACCGTTCCAAACAATAATCGCAATTGAATCTTTCCGATGTTAAAGACAGATGAGAGGATTAGAACCACCGTAAATATCAAACAAAACAAAACCAATGATCCAGCAATGATCAATAAAGCTTTATACTCAAGTCTGAAAAGTTAAAGATCAGAAAAAGAACTCTTTTTAGCTTACTTGACTGCATAGATGATCAAATTGATGAGCAGGAAAGTTTCGAGGATTAATAACAGTAAACTGACAAACAATAGAATGACCTAAAGCTGAAAAATAGAGGAAATTTTACTGATAAATCACTGGCTTAAAGCTATAAATGAAATTCATGCTCTAAATGTTCTGGGTGTATTTTGTTGGCTCAAAAACTGGTCAAAAATCTTGCTGTGATTTGAAAACTTGAAAAATGATCTTGTTAGAGTGACCGTAAATACTGTAATAGTACCCCACCCCCATAATGACGGTGCGGAGCGTTGCGTAGTCTAGCTTTGAACGAGTTTTTCTCGACACTGGTTTATGCTACAATGCGCGTTTCGGGATCAAAAAATAGCCCTGAATTGCAGCTATTTTTTGATACCAAAGACGCATTCTTTGAAAGTACGGGCGCTTTGAAAAAAATGGAATACTAAAAAACTTTTGCGACTACGCGACTGTACGAGGGCGGTGGGGTACTATTACAGTATTTACGGTAAGAAATCTCACCGATAGTCGCCTCATTTGCCGATTTTCAAAAGGTTTTAGAGCGATAACCATAACAGGGATGAAAATGTAGTCAATCAAATTGAGGGAGAGTCTTTCCCCTCTTTTCCCCATGAATCAGTCTATTCAAAGGGTGTTTTTAGAATGATTCAGATATCTCCGTTCAAAGCTTCTTGTGAATAACATTCATCTCAACAATTCTATGTATATTTGTACAATAAAAAAAAAATAGCTTTTTAGTAAAGGTTTATTCTGTTGGAAATCTCAACACAGCGATGTTAATCCGTCGACTATTTAGCTTTAGTTTTTCTTTGATTTTTCGCTTCCAGATGGTGGAAATTGAGAGATAAGTGCAGACAATGAGCTGGAAATGGAAATTCGATGAATGAAGAAAAATAGAAGGCAATCCCCTAGCCCGTTACTGTTTTCAACTTAACTTGAGCCATCTTGAGAACTTGAGAATCGTGACGACTAATTCAGACCCCTTCTTTAAGTCAAAGATGCGGTAACGGGCTAGTTGTTAGTTGAATGTTAGTGTTGTGTACATGAGATCATTGCAGAGCCTCCTACATCATCTTTAGCTTAATTCTTTAGTCATTTTAAACTAGCAGTCAAGTCAGTCAAGCTTTTGTAAGAAGGCTTAAGCTTGATTTCATTACCTGATCTCATTAGTTTAGTCTTATACGGGAAATCAAGGAAACTTAGCTACCAGTTCTTATTTGAATCATTATCGAAAACCAACGCTGACTCCAAGATGAACTGCGGTGACAATCAGAATCTCCAAATGCGATCCCATGCTAACTCTTGGAAAAACGATAAGAAATGCGGTTCTAGCGAAAATCTAGATTTTATCTTTAAAAAAAGTCATTGATGAAACTCACTAAAACACCGAAATGAACGAAAAAGAAACGAGCCATTTTATCTTTCATTCCGACAAGCGTCAGAACAGAAGTCAGCCAGCAGGTAAATTCCAGGATTAAACCAAGCTAAAACAAACCGAGCTTACGTTTTAATAATGACTAAACCAACAGCTGCATTGAAAGCCAAGAATTGATTGACTCCAATGCAATCGTAGACGAAAATCTCCACATAAAAGCTTTTATAGCGTTGAGTGAGAATTTCGGGGTAAATTGGCGATTTCTTTCCACATTCTAGGTTCGGATCTCTGAAATTTATGGATAAATGCTTAGATAATAGGATTTTTGCTATATTATTTCTTCAACTTATGATATTGTCGAAAAACGGTGATGTGAACGGTGAGAATTATCCAAGAGAGAACAAAACTGGTGAATAGAAGAAGAAAATGAAGGCCCTGAAATAGAGATTGATAGATTTGAATGGATATAGTTAATCTAGCAAAGATCATTTCCGGGTACAGTAATAATAATTTGAAAGATAATGTAGTTACATAAAGCTAATTAGACATTGATAAAATTAAAATCTTATCGAGAAGGGATCCTATCGAGATTTGTTCACTATCAAGGTTTGATTAGTACTAAATCAACTCAGAGGGATCCTAAAAAATCCGTTCACTATCGAGGTGTTCACTAACGATTCACTAATTCGACTGTACATCTCTTCTTAAAAAGGGGGGGGGGCACATCCGCGCGAAATGGTGTTCGCGGATGTGAGGGGTATTCATCGCGGCCGGGTGACGATAAAAATCTTTTTTTACGGCAACCACCTGTTTTTTTCTTTTAATATCGGTGATTTTATTATAAAAAGAATAAAAATCACCCGGCTAGAGTGATTTGATGGGTTTACAAATTTTTGGAGACACTGCAAGGCTTGGAGAAAAACAAGAGCGTCACTCATCAGACACCTCAGCTAAAAGGTACCTATTTGAGAAAACTAAAACCACAAGCGATCACAAATGGAAAAAAGATCTAATTGTGTCAATCAAAGCGCTGAAGACGTCCTACGGTGGAGGAGATCCAGTCACTTTTGGTGAAGATGCGCTGGAAATTGATAAGATCGGAAGCCGATTTGAGGAACTGCTGTACTTGAGCGAAGATGAAAGTGAGCAAGAGGAAGAATTATAGATTAAAAACTTATTTTTATGGTTTTTGTGCTTTTTATTTTGTTTTTAAATTTATTTGCAACTAAAACTCAATCGATCTAGACTGTGCTGAGGTGTCTGATGAGTGACGCTCTTGTTTTTCTCCAAGCCTTGCAGTGTCTCCAAAAATTTGTAAACCCATCAAATCACTCTAGCCGGGTGATTTTTATTCTTTTTATAATAAAATCACCGATATTAAAATAAAAAACAGGTGGTTGCCGTAAAAAATTTTTTTATTGTCATTAATACCCCCCTTTAACATCAATGTATTAGAAAAGATTTTATTAAAAAGTAAATAAACTCACTCGAACAACATGCACCGTAGCCTTTTCAATAAAAAAGAATAACAAAAATTTTTGAATAATTGATTCCACTTTTTTCATTGTTTAATAAATGTGAAGAAGAGTTTTTTTGCTTTTTCCTTTTGTTCATTTCCTTTTGTTCATTTGTTTCTTTTCAATCAAAGTGATTCACAATGTATTCCACACAAATTTTGCCTTTCATTTTCATTTCATGACTTTTATTTCAAAAAATTCTTATGACATGTCAAGTTTGGCCATACAGATTGAGTAGTAACTGGCGCCAACTAAAGCGTCGTAGTCACAGTAGTTGATGTCCTGGAAATCGAGCTTTGTATTGAAGATTTTATCAAAAAAAAATATCAAAATTTGCAGTTTAACAGCCTTACTATATGCTTTACAGCCATTTTTACCTCATTTTCTTACCTGGAAAATCTCACTGGCTTCGAATTGGAAATCGGCGACGATCATTGCCCAACCGGGCAAATTCAGATTGTATTGGAGAGCTTGGAGAATTCCCTGAAAATGGAAATGGATTGATTACCCAATGGATTGATGGATTGATTACCCAATCTGATGGATTGATTACCCTATCCAAATGGATTGATTACCCAATCCAAATGGATTGATTACCCAATCTGTCACTAAACAAAAAGATAACTAAACCATTTTTACCTTTGCATTATAGGCGGTAACCTTTGTGAGCGCATTGGCAATGTTTGCACGAAGACCATCATCCACACAACCGAAAGCATTTGGATCATCACCGTCAAGTGCAGCTGAAAAAGTGAAAAGCTTATTAGGAATGTAATAAAGACTAAAGACAGACACATAAAATAAAATAAAGACAGACTAAAAGACTAATTGTCAGTGAAGAAGTTAAATCAAGTACTTCTTTGGTCAATAAACTAGGTCAATAAACGGTTAGAATCAAACCGCTTAACTTAACCTTTACCTTTTATCATTCCCCTCTTCTTTGCTTTTTTTTATCACTTAACTTAACTTACCTTTTTTGCGAAGAGCTTGAAGTTGTGCAGGTGATCGTCGAGCTTTTACCTTCTTTGGAACGGTCGTGTTTCCGAGAAGAATTCGCATATCGCTCACCATAGCACTTGTCGCCAAGCAGCCGTCAAAACAGAAATATCTGAAATTAAGCAATAAAAACTAAAGGTTAGAATAGTTTTTAAAGTGGTACTTTTTAGATAAACATTTATTTAAGAGAAATTACAAACTTGGGATTAGTGGCAACTCCACCCGAGGCGAAATCGGTCATCCCGACGGCTTGCTGAGAAACCCAGTGTCCTGGACTGAAAATGTTACCTGAAAGAGTGAAATTATTAATAGTTTAGAAATATTTAGAAAAAATGATATTGATAACAGATAATTTGAAGCTCTAAAGTTGTCTTTGTTTCAAATTCACTCACATCTTTGCGCCTCCAGCACTCCGACAAGCCCCACGAACGCGAGCACTAAGCTTCTCATCCTGAAATTTGAAATTTAATTGTAGAAATTGAAAATCAACTGAAGAATCCAGCTTTCAATCTAGGAATCAAAAATTCTTTAATCAAAAAGATACAGTGGACACGATTTGCTACTCGTTATCACATCCTGAAAGCTGAAAACTGAAAAAAACGTCAGTGCAAACAAAGAAAAGAAAAGAAAACGAAAGACTAAATGGATAATTTGGCGAGTGTTTACAGGCTGATTTCCGCTGATTATTCGTGGGATTTGCACAGATGGCCTTCTTCTCAACTCTACAACCCACACAGCCTTTGATTCCAGTCCATTATCAGCACTCCTTTCTTCTTTTCATAGATATTTTACATTTCCAGTAATACTAAAGGATTTTTAGTTTGATCTTGTTTAAAAGTTTCGGGATTTTTAGAAATCTTGGTTTTCAGGGATATCGGAGATGATCAAATTCGTGCTCGGATGTCTTTTGGTGGCGCTGGTGGCAGCGGATACTTGTAAGGTTTATAAAGATTAAATCGAAGTACTTGGGTTTCTAACTTTGGTACTATAGGATTAAACCTTCCCCCTACGGTACCCATTTCTTATGAGCATCAGTAGGAATAAGATAGCTGGACAAATGATGCCGTTCCGCTGTGCTTCTTGTTCTGCCATTTGGCCGAATTTATACTTGTGATTCACCTCTTGATGTGAGGCCTTCTCAATGTCAACGGTTTTGTATCCCTTCCACGAACCACTGATGATGGTTGTGCCGGGTTCAATATCAATGCGAATCATCTCCAGCAATGTGTCGGCGCTTTGATCTTGCACTTCTATCAAAAAGCATTCTCCCGTCTATCGACAAGCTCTTCCACAAATCCATACCTGTGGCAAAACTCGACCACAATGCCTTTTGCTGAAAAGGCTTTCGTCAATTTCTACGATAGCTGAATCAAATAATAGTAACGAACGGAAGGCTATTCGATGCGAACCACGACCTCTGTTCTGCATTTTCCTTTGCGGCACCGCCAAAATCCTTTGTATTTGAGTGTCATGGGGTGGCCATCTTTGCAGGTTGTTCGAAGAGCGAGAAGTCCACGATTGCAAAGAAAGTCGATGGCTGTCGATTTCTCACTTGGAAGCTTGAACATCCCGTCACGGAGAGACAGAAGAATAGAAATGAAATTAAATGTTGGCTACTTGCATGAAAAGAAGCTTGCAAATTTTACTGTGTATGGAAATTTTGAGATGCAAATTATGGGGGGAGGGGGTTAAATCTATTGATGGGGGTTTATTCCTATTGCAATGGTACTTTTGCAATGATATTGCAACGGTTTAATCCTATAGTCGCCTAACTTTTTATAAGATTTATAAACATTTTATAGATTGCAACTATGACCTCGTTGGAGATGAGATCTTGCTCGAAGCGGTACCGATCAGAGACTATCAGACATCCGGAAATGATGCGGCGAGGTAAAGTTTAGAATAGGTACTTATTAGGGTATGGATAATGGATTTCCGGAGAATCGGAATATGAATAATTACCTGTGGCGAATTGCCACTGCTCTGCAGTTAATCAAAAATTCAATACAAGTTAAAGTTCAAAGTTGGTGGATAAACTACCGTAATCAGTCACTAAATGATATTCAGCTGTCCGGTTGTTGTAGCTTGTATGCTTAAAAAACCCATTATTTAAGCTTGCTTTGAGTGAGTTTGTTGTTCCCTTTGCTTTATCATTCTTTTCACATTCAAGTGTTGATTAATTGTGATAGTGCCAGTTGCTCTAGTTTGAGCGAAGTTGCCCAACAAGGGAAAGTTGGATAAATTATTACGTTTTCAAGAAGACCACCATTGAACCACAACGAGACACGGTCTCACAAGAAATTATATAGATCAAAGCATCACCATATATTTCTTACATTACCCGTATTATCCGGTAAAATCCGGATAATTGTTAAAATTGAATTTTTAATACCAAAAACTCGGTTTAACTACTAGTTTGTCGTTGAAAGTATAGAAAATATACATTCATTTTTTGGTAATTGATATTTTGCAAAATTGTCTATCTTAGTCGAATATCTTCGTTTTAAAATAGTGCTAGTGATCAACAAATTGGCCGTTTCCAAATCACTATATTTAACTTCATTTAGCCCGATTGATTGACGCTTCAAAGTACTGTGAATGATGGAAAAAAAAGGGATTGACAAGGACCTGTGTGTGAATCGAAAAATTGTATAAGGGCGACAATAAAGAGAAGAGAAGCGATACATTTATTTTAAATAGATAAATCTTAAAACACAAACGCAAAAAGTATTCATTAATTCATTAATTTTTACAAAAAAAACCTATAAAAAGGTGTTTTATAGATTTTTTTTTGCACAATATACTTTCTGTCCCCTTAGTTGGCGTTGAGAAAATTCATAGAATTCCTTTTGAACTAAAAATTGAATATCAAGAATCCGAGCAATGGTGAGTGGATCCGGGTTTTTCTCCGAATTCTATTCCGTTTTCCAGATTGCATCTTTTTTTGTGAGCTTTTCTGAGAGCTTTTCTGAATATTTGGATAGTTAAATATGCCACAAAAAGCAAGAAAAAAAAGTTAGTTATAATTTTATCTTATTTTTGAGAAGAAAAATGGAAACCGGTTTTTATTTTTCATTGTTTCAATGCCCATTGACTTTTGAAAAAGATGTGGCAAAAGAAATCGGAGACGGAGATCCTCTTTTTATTTACGCCTTTTCTTTCTCTCACGTGCAATTTTCTCCCAAAATTGAAACATTTTTTGAAGATGGGGAAAACAATAAAGAAAAATTCCGAGTCTATGATTGGATTCGTTTTTTCCTGCTGAAACAGTATTTCTTCTCGAAAGCAAATGAGTTTCCGTATCTGGGCGTTGATCATTCTGGCCATTCTTGCTGGTGGAGCAATGTTTGCAGTGATTTTTTTGGATCGAATGGGTGAGCGAGAAATGAATGGGATCATCACGAATTCAACAGAGGTATGCTTTTGGGAATCTTTAAGGGGAAATAGAAGGGCGTTCTCACAAGAATCAAAAAAAGTTATGCTAACTATTTTCGAAGTGCAGTTGTAAACCTATTGAGTAGATCTTTTAGCAAGATGGTTAAAAATATAAAGTTATAGCACCAACCAAGCTTACGATGAGGTATTCGACCAGTCTAGCTTGTTAACATGTTAACATGTATCATAAATTAAGACCTACTATATATTAAGCAGAAGAGACGTCTGTCCGTCTGTGTGCAGCTATTAGCGAAAAGGGACGGGGCTTGGATTGCGCGGAAAACTTGGACCTTCCCAGTGGAAAACGTGAACGTTAGTGAGCGTTTTCCACTGGTTTACTAATGCTAATGTTGACCATGTGATTTACATGACTACAAGGATCATTTGAAAAGCTCTTCAGTTCAATCGGCAACTCACAATCAGTAGTAGATCTTGAGATCTGGAAATGGGGGTTCGAATCCTCTTCGATCCAATCTTGAATGACTCTCGTATTTTCTCTATTACAGATCTGCTGGTTGAAGTTCTGTGAGGATCATTTGAATCTCTGATATCAAATAGCTGATAGCCGATATTCTGTACCTGATATCAATGACATTTAAAATCCAATGAAAGCAGGTTGTTTATTTGTAGAGCCGCTAAGTACGACCTTAAGTAGTTGCTGGTGGCTAACTCTTAGTGGATAAATAAGCTCTTATGATTAGTGGATAAATGTATCGATCATATTTTGCAGGCATTCAATTCGACTGATCTCGACAAAGATCTATGCTCTGATTCGGAAAATATTGTCGAGTTCTCAAACGATTCATGGAAGTGCACAAATGATTCAGTAAGAGTTCAAGACAATTTACACTACTACTTATACGATTCTTAAGTTTTTGATCATGCTAAAACTTGATTCCCTTCTATTTCAGCGTTGTCAAGAGGACACTTGTGCTCATCCAAAGAACACGAATTCAAGTCACACTTTGAATTGTTCAATGGATGAAATAATGGATAAAATTCGATTCACTTGTAAATGATGTATAAAGTTTTTAAAAACCAATGCATTTGAGGGTTTTTGTGGGATTTTATATTAAAATGGGTCTATTTCTTATAAATTATCTATTCAACAAGTCAAAAATGAGGCGTTTGCTTTTGCTGAATGGCAAAGAATGTACCCATGGGATTTCTTGATTCTGAGAAAATATTTTATTTTCTTTTGCTTGATTGTGACAAGAAAACATCGTGTAAGAATGGATGATTTGTACAAGTCACAGCCAAACACGTATGTTATATTTTGTGGATGAGCTGTAAAGAGGACACGTGAGTTCACATCGTCCCATTGGCACTGCAGAACAGCTCGGCAGTTCCCGTTGAAATGCCATTATCCGAGCTCGCCTGATCGCTATCGCTGTATCGTATTTCTTCGATTTTTAGAAACTGATCCAAACAAAAAGCAGAACTCGAGAAAAAAGAGATTTTATGAAAGAAAATATAGACACTTCAAAAATATATTATTCGGGTGTCTATTAGAAGAAATACCGTATATCTTCTCATAGCTTTTCTCAGGATGAACACTCTGATTTTATATTAAAGACCTTTGAAGTATGCCGTTTCTTAACGAGCTTATCTTGTTTCCTAGAATTGTAGAAACCTTCAGCAATGACAACTACGGTACACTATTAATATTAGGACAATTGTTTTTCATATTTATGAAACTTACCGAAATTGAGGCCTAAAAGGTAGAAATCGAGGTGCAAGTAAACAAGTAATGAAGTTCTAAAAGCCAAATCAAGAATCTAGCCTTCAAGGTAAACTCAATCTAAGAATCAAAAAGATACAGTGGCTACGATTCACTCACATCTTTGCGCCTCCAGCACTCCGACGAGCCCCACGAACGCGAGCACTAAGCTTCTCATCCTGAAATTTGAAATTAAATTGTAGAAATTGAAAATCAACTGAAGAATCCAGCTTTCAATCTAGGAATCAAAAATTCTTTAATCAAAAAGATACAGTGGACACGATTTGCTACTCGTTATCACATCCTGAAAGCTGAAAGCTGAAAACTGAAAAAAACGTCAGTGCAAACAAAGAAAAGAAAAGAAAACGAAAGACTAAATGGATAATTTGGCGAGTGTTTACAGGCTGATTTCCGCTGATTATTCGTGGGATTTGCACAGATGGCCTTCTTCTCAACTCTACAACCCACACAGCCTTTGATTCCAGTCCATTATCAGCACTCCTTTCTTCTTTTCATAGATATTTTACATTTCCAGTAATACTAAAGAATTTTTAGTTTGATCTTGTTTAAAATTTTAAAATTTTCGAGAATTTTAGAAAACTTGGCTTTCAGGGATATCGGAGATGATCAAATTCGTACTCGGATGTCTTTTGGTGGCGCTGGTGGCAGCGGATACTTGTAAGGTTTATAAAGTTTAAATCCAAGTACTTGGGGTTTTAACTTTCATAAGGTTAAGCATTTTTATGTCTAAACATTTTACAGATTGTAACTATGACCTCGTTGGAGATGAGATCTTGGTCGAAGCAGTACCCATCGGAGACTATCAGACATCCGGAAATGATGCGGCGAGGTAAGGTTTAGAATAGATACTTATTACGGTACGGATAATTTCTAAAATTGAATATTTAATGCCAAAAACTCGGCTTAACTACTAGTTTTTCGTTGAAAGTAAAGCAAAATATTAGGTGTGTGAAAAAGTAATCCACGTTTTTAACGTTTAAATATAAAAGACCATAAGTTTCGTTAAAATCATTTTTATTCAACGAAGTAATCACCATTCGAAAGAACAACTTTCGAACGAAAGAAATTTAGTACATTGACGACATTGACGACTTCAAGTTGGCGAGGGAGCCAACTTGAAGCAAGACACCAATTTTTGCTACAAAAGCGCTTTCAAGGTAAAACAAAACAAAATAAAGAGGCTATTCAACAAAAACAAATACAAATTAACAAACTAAAGAAGATATTTAGTAGAAAAGAATCCAAAAGAGCTCGCTAAAATCTCATTGAATTATTTTTCAGCAAATCGGCAACGATTACTATTTCTTTGACGTGTTGGCGATGGCTGTTGATGACTCTAAAAATTGATTTCTTTCTATTTCTTCTAATAAACCTCTTGCATAATTTTTCTTTTTTTTAATTTAATCTCTATTTTTCTCAAAATTTGAAATCTATGAAAGTTTTGAAGATTTCAGATGTTGAGATACGGTGTCGCCGTTGTGTTTCTTGCGTTAGTCGCTGCTGACACTTGTAAGTAATTCTCATAATCAAATGATCAATTCAATAATCAATTCAAATCATTCACTTTTTACTTTCAGTTTGCAACTACGCGATCACTGGAGATGAGATTCTTGTTGAAGCGGTGCCCATCGGAACCTATGAGACCTCGGGAAAGGATACTCCTAGGTAAAATAAAATCAAGTTTACCAAACTAAGGAAAATACATAGCTAGCACTAAAATTTCAGAGCTTCTTGGTGCATTGCTGGCTGTGACACGAAAGTCTCCGTCAAGGGAACTCTTCTTCTTCTCGAAGCTGGACCTGGACCGAAAAGTGAGAAGGATTAAATAGTAATTATCAAAAACAACTTTAAAATCTGAACATTAAATGAAATAATACCAATAAGAAAGAAGAAAAAGAACAATTTTTCATTTGATCATTCACATTTTCTTTTAAGCTTCCTACAAGATGCATCGTCACGTAAACATGAAAGATCGTACGATCTACCGCGAGATCTACAATCAAAAAACTGGAGAACTCGTGAGAACCTCGGATGGAGACGGTGACAATAGTAAGTCAAATATTGGGTTGGTGAATTGAAAACTGCCGGACTTTGAACTAAAATTAATTAAACATAAAACAATGAATTCATTCGAAATAATTTCCATTATTATTGACGACTTCTGCCCATTTTACAGGCAATTTGCGGATTCCTCTTTCGTAGTAGGATTTTGGTTTTCAATCGAAAACTTTCAAAGCCAATTTTTGACTGCTTCTTCCGAATCGAAGTGTCCCGCAAGCTCATTACTCATGATCCAAAATAAATAGTAATCAGTAAGGTCCGGACTGTATGGGGAATGCGCCAAAAGTTCCCAAACAAGGCTGTTTATTTTAGAGCGAGTCAGTTTTGCAACATCAGGGCCAATTTTATTATATTGGGTTGGTCAATTGAAAACAGCCGGACTTTAAACTAAAATTAATTAAACATAAAACCATAAATTCATTCCAAATAATTTCTATTATTATTGATAACTTCTGCCCATTTTACAGGCAGTTTGCGGATTCCTCTTTCATAGTAGGATTTTGGTTTGTGTGTGAGACAAGTGTGAGACTCAAAAATGGAGGACTGGAGATCTGGCGATGTCCCAGTTTGAGGACTTTCTTCAAAAAAACCCATTTTGGTGTCAATGGAAAAGTTGTAGAGAATCAAAAATCAAGCTTATATCCAAATTTCCAAAAAGATACACTTAGTAGTTTCGCTTAAAATGCAAGTTTTGTGAAAATTCGTAAATTTGGCATTTCTTGAAAATGAGTTTTTGAATCGTTCTGAGAATTTGGATATAAGCTTGATTTTTGATTCTCTACAACTTTTCCATTGACACCAAAATGGGTTTCTTTTGAAGAAAGTGCTCAAACTGTCACATATGACAATAGCCGGCAGTTTTCAATTCACCAATCGAATGGATTGATGAGCTTTTAAGAATTGTTTTATCGCTAGAACCAGTGGCTATCGTAGTCTTGTCATAGTTAACATAGGAACTTGTTTACATTATTAAGACTTATAAGCACAAGCTTATAATCCAGATCTGGATGAGACACTTGTCCTTCCTTTCCTAAGCTTGATTTTTGATTCTCTACAACTTTTCCATTGACACCAAAATGGGTTTCTTTTGAAGAAAGTGCTCAAACTGTCACATATGACAATAGCCGGCAGTTTTAAATTCACCAACCCAATAGTAACAGTAAAACAGTAAAATTTGATAACTTAAACATATCATTTAAGCCTTCTGCATCGATGACACAGTGGCGGCACAAGTTGACGCCGTTTTCGACAAGTATAACACCGTTGACAACATCGTTAAGGGATTAAATGCAACCATTAACAAACCTGGATGGGCCTACCTTGTCATTGAGGTGCTTAAATTTAAACTTTTTAGCTACAATAACTTTATGAGATCAAACTCTTTGTCGAAACTTTGATTTAAACTTTAGCACGTCGACGACTCCGTTGGAGAGGGAGCCAACTTGAAATTCGATACCAACTTCTGCTACAAGAATACTTTCAAGGTAAATAAAGTCAATTATTTTAAATTCCCTTATTTTCTAATAAATTAAGGGAAATGATTTCAAAAAAAGTCATTTAAAAGTCATTTAAATCGAGATTTATTTACTTTTCTTGAACATTCCTCTTTTAAATACAATTTTATACTTTTATTCGTTCCTAGGTGTAAACGAATTTGGGTTAAGTTAAAGAGAGTGGATCCCTTTGGATATCCCGCCATCTCTAACACCCCGACAACCCAACTCAAATCCTCCAACGTATTAGAGGGGAGTCCCTGTGAAATGACCGACTTGTACTGCAGTTGCATAGACTCGGAAGATATGTATCTTTATTTACAGTAGTACAATAAGATGAATAGATTACAAATGAGTGTAAGGGGAAGGGGGACTCCAAATGAGAGTCTCACTTGTCCTTCTAGGCTCCTCACTGTCCTTCTAGGCTCCTCACTGTCCTCCTAGGCTCCTCACTGTCCTCCTAGGCTCCTCACTGTCCTCCTAGGCTCCTCACTGTCCTTCTAGGCTCCTCACTGTCCTCCTAGGCAATCCCCCTTTCTCGGCGATGTAAGGGATAAGCACAGGGGAGAACACATTTGCATAAGAATAGACAAATCATTTAATAATAACCATAGTAACTCAAATATCAGTTTGGCTCGGAGCTGACACTTTTATTTAATACAATTTAATACTGTTTCACTTTGAAAAGCTAAATATTGTAATCAAAGTTTCAATTAAACAAATTTTCTCTTTTCAGCAAATCAACAATCAATATTATTTCTTTGATGTGGTCGCCATGGCTGTTGACGATCGAAACAGTCTCTAAAAATGAAATAAATATTGAAATAATGATTTCAACTTTTAAAATCAAACCAGGAAACTCTTTTCTCCTTGACGAATAGTACAAATATGGTGAAGTTTCTAAAAATAGGAAAAAGAGGGAAAAGTGAATGTGAATAGGAAAGAGATTCCCTTCACAATACATCCCATCCTCCAGGCATTCCAAGCAAATAAAAAACTCTACACTTCAAGCGTTTTTCAAGCCCATTTTTTAGTGTTCTTGTTTGAGGAAAGGAAAGGTTTTTGATTGGCTTTTTGGAAACAAATAGTTTAACAATCAAATTTACTTTATGAGCAGCTTTTTATTTTATTTCTTTCCATACAATAGCATGAATTGTCAATCTTTTTTCTTAATTTCTTTCTATCAAGTTTTTTTCCATTTTGAATTCTCAAAAATTCTAGATTTTCTAGTTTAAACTTAAAAATACATTGTCAATTCAAAATTGACAATGTATTTGACAATGACAATGTCAACGAAAGTCTCTAAGAACTTTTCTGAACTTTTTTTAAACTTGGAAGTTGCTTTAAAGCATTCCAATAGTTTAGAAAAGTTTACAAATGAAAACATTTGGATTAAATCTTAATTCTAACAATACTTATGAACAAAATGGTACCAAATTTGTTACACAATTCCATTTTTCTTTGACTTTCCATTTTTCTGGGTACGAACCGGTCGATTTAGTTGTCCGGGTGGGGGAATAGCTTCTCTTCGACATTCTGTACCACACACACACCACATAAAGTCACATCCAAATCCCTTTCCCAACAAATCATCGACTCTTTTCTCTATTATATCCATCAGATATGAATATCCCAGTCACCATTGTGATGTACCTACACGAGAAATGTGAAGAGAAAAACTCACTAAACCGATTGGCGCTTTTTGGGGGATTATTTGACTCTCACACCAATAAAAGAGATACTTTTTTTTGCGTTTTCACTTTTAGCTAATCTTTTTAGTAAGCTTTTGTAGTAAATAAGCAGTAAGATTCTTGGAAAAGTATTTTTGTAGCAAATTTCCAAAGCTAAAGCCAAATCCAAAGCCAAATCCAAAGCCAAAGCCAAAGCCAAAGCCAAATTCAGCTATTCAATATAATTTAATTGCTTTATAAGTAAACTGGATTTTTTAAAAACTTTAACGATATACTCTACAGTGACTTTTAAACTAAAGTAATCTTTAAGCTCTACAGCCAGCCTTTAGAATCATGATATCTAACTGTTTAAACTGATTTCTTGAATCTGAGCAACCTGGCTTTTAAAATTTCGGCAATAACTTAAAAATATTGACTGACTGACTGCTTTGAGACTTGTACAGTCCATAAAAATTGCATGAACGGGAAATTTCTATTTTAATGACGTAAGCTTTCAGCCAAAAGATGCAAGCTATACAAGTACCACTTTTTCATTACAAGATGACCAGGTCAGGCTAGATTCCATGCCTATTTGCAGAGATTTTGAAGCTTTCCGATGAAGAGGAGATGATCCTCGTGATCCTCTCCTCTTCTTCTTGTCTTCCTCTCTTCCTCTCCTCCTCTCCTCCTCTCCTCCTCTCTTCCTTTCCTCCTCTCTTCCCTCTCTTCCTTTCCTCCTCTCTTCCCCTCTTCCCCTCTTCCTCTCCTCCTCTCCTCCTCTCCTCCTCTCTTCCTTTCCTCCTCTCTTCCCCTCTTCCTCTCCTCCTCTCCTCCTCTCCTCCTCTCTTCCTTTCCTCCTCTCTTCCCCTCTTCCTCTCCCTTCAATCCCCCTCAACTGGTTGACTTTTAGAGACCGATCTGGCACCCAATATAAGCAAAAAAAGAGTAGCTTTTTCAGACAATATATTTGTTGATCAGTGTTCGTTTTCTCGTTGTTATGGTATTGCCGTTTTCGTTTAAAGTCAGCATTTTGTAAGAATAATAGCAAAGTAGCAACTCTGAGTAAAAATATAATAGATACAATGTTGTACTTAACTTATTTATTGGTCAAAGATTACAGAATAGTGGCTATGGTAGATCAAATGAAAATCACAGTTCTGTAATCTGTGATTTCTATTTGGCTACTAAATTTTTCATAAGCAAGTCAATGTTTTTACTGCAAAAAAGGCGAGTACAGTTTTTTAAGGTAAAGAAAAGTTATTAGAATAGTGGAATTTGGGTCTAGTTGCGACAATATAGTGAAATTTTATCGTTTTTCTTTGATCCTGATTCATTAGACTTAGAGATAAGTAAAATCGAGAAGAACAAAAGAAGAAGCTTCTAGAAGAACTACCTTGTTTTGAACAACATCAAATTTTCTATATCAAAAAGAGCGTTATAGAAACTCTAGACTAATGCTAAGACCCATTTTCCCCTCTAAAAACCTATCAAATTTTCGATAGCTCAACTTTTCCCAAGGACTGTCCAGTTGTATCCTTTCCCCTTTTCAAATCCCTTTGGCATCTCTTTTGCCTTTTCACAAAAAAAAAAAACGCTTTAAGGCTATGGCTAGTTTTGCCTTGTTGGGATGGTTGTGCGGGTGGCTGAAGTCTTTTTTGCGACCTCGAAAATTACGTGACTCTGAACTTTGCGACTCTTTTGCCAAAAAGGAAAAGCATCCAATCCATCTCCTCCCCCATTTAACCTAGATTTCACCTCAATTTTAGCTTCTTTTTGCAAGCAGTTTTCATTGAATTTAAGATTTTTATACTTTAAAACTTTTATAATCAAGTAAGCTAAAGAAAGCCGGTCTAATTCTAGCTCATCTAGCTAAATCTCAAAACTACAATTGCTTTCTTTTGGCTTAATCTTCAGTTCTTTGTAAAAAAAAGTGATGTATGGCTATCAGTCTTGGGGAAAAAACCTTCAAAGGACTACTTGCCAAGTGCTGAACTGAAAATCTCGAACTTGAATCGATTCGAATCTTTCCATTGCCCACTACCATTTTATCATTTCCTACTCATTCTTCTTTCCATTGATGGCACTTTCACTTTCCCTTTCCCTTCTTTGTCTTTCAGTCTGTCATCGAGGTAATCGCCAGTTCGAATCTCGGCTTTTCCATTTCTTTTCACAAATGTTTCTTTGGCATCAACCTTTCGACTGTCTTCTCTCAGATTTCTCAGCTTTCCCTTAAGCTGAGTTTCTTGTTTTCTATGTCCTTGTCCATTTTTTTGTGTCTCGAAATCTTATGCTTATCCATAGTGCAGTCGTAACTACAAAGTAGTACAGTAGTAGTAAACCTGAACTTGTAGAAAAGCCATGCTTTGCCATGCAATACCAATTTGAAAACTAAAGAAAGATATTAAAACTTCAGCTGATCCTTTTTTCTCAATCAAGCTCTTTTTTTTGTATTTTCAGTCTTCCCTAAAATCTTGAAAGTATTGAAAATCGTCTTTGATCACCAGCTTTTTCTTTTATATACTATTTTTTGCTGACTCTAGTGATTGTAAAGGCAAAACTCTAGAATTTCTACTTCTAAAACCCACAAGCACATCATCTTTTTCTCTTTTTCTTTTTCTTTCTCTCTCTTTTTCTTTCTCTTTCTTTTTCTTCTACAGTTTTCAATAAAATTAGCATAACATTTTCCAGAGTACAATGGTTAATTTGCTAACCCAAAAAAAAAAGCTTTAGACAAAGTCCTTGAGGGTCAGCTTTATCATCATCATCACCGAGTCTTGAGGCTTTTTTTTTGGTGAAGACAAGCAAAAAAGGAAATTGGGGGAGTCACACTTGACTCTCCCTTACCCAAAAATTGATAAAAAGAAGGAAAAAGAAACGAGTTGCTCATCACTACTTTCGCTAGATCTTTTCTATAACCTTTTTTTTATTCACAAAGAGGAAATGCCCATGAAATGGAGGGCACTATGGATTCTGTTATTCGCTGGAGTTTCACAGGTGAGTTTATTAAAAGATACTTTATTCAACATGAATAAGTGGATACAACACAACGGAGGACACAATTTTTACCCCTACAATGTAGTTAAGAAAAAACCCAACTTAATGGGAAAAAGAACACACTTGATTTTGCCAGCGAGATCGAAAACTCGACCTTCCGATTTGGAGACAAGACTCCTAACCAGTCGGCCAACTGGCCATTATTAAGAAAAAATTCATAAAAGATCAAAAACATTGGATTTACACTCAATTTTTTAAATCTTCTGTCCTATGGAATTGTCTTGACAGTCATCTATTTGTAGAGGATCTTCAAAAATCTCTTGTTCTTATTTTTTGAAAAGAACAAGCAAGTTTTATTGAAATTGGAACCAAAATCGAGAGTATCTCCGAGACATTTTTATATAAATTCTTAAAAAAATAAACAAATGAACTCTAATCTTTTAAGAAAAATGATTTAAATGCTTTTAACTAATAATAAGAATGAAAATGATTTCAAAAGAAGCTAGGGAATGACAGAAAATGATGAATTATTCAGAAAGTACTTCTTTACTTGTTAATATTAAAAATTTAATCTAAGAAAGTAGCTTTGATTTAAAATGATACCTTTTCATAGCTTTTCTCATTTTACATTCAATTGGTTTTAGTGAAACCTCATGAAATCCATGCAAGTGTCAATGGCACTTTGGTTCTTTTTTTTCTGAAGATCTGGTGTGGCTGAATGGCTAGGGGGTAATTGAAGAGTTGTCCGAGAGATTGACATGAGAAAGAAAAGAGATCTCTCAGAAGAAGAAGCAATAAAGACCTCTCCGGATGGTTGTAGAGAAGGGGAAAGGGGAAGGCTGGCATTTCACCTGAGAGGGAAATCTCTGGGTAGAGGAAACCTGTTGAGACTTTTGTAGCTCATCGAAAATCTTTTTTTTGGAACATACTGGTAGGAAATGTTGTTTAGTAGATTAGAAAAGGAAGTTGACTATACGTTGGTTTTTGTAAAATAAAATTGCTTTAGCGATGAGTGTTTGTTAAGCAAACAGGCTGAGCTTCTCTTCTAGCATTATAGTAAGCTTTTCTAAACTTCACAATGCTTCAAAATGCTTCTAAATGCTTCAGAAAACTGGGAAAATATTGCATAATTTTGTATAACAAGCTTAAGTCCTTCTTTATCCATTGATCATCCAGGAAAAGTTAGAACAATGTTGTGATCTTTGCAGATGTCTCTGTTACAGATCTTACAGATGTTGCAGAACTTTCAGTCATTTTATAAAAACAAGATACTTATAGTTAAGTATTGACAGTTACACAAGTTATTGTATTGACAGTTAAGTCACTTCTCCAAGGCTTTTGGTTCTAGAATAATGATTTTAAGTCATAGATTTAAGCTTTTACTTTCAATCTCCCTCTTGAGTGAAAGTGATGCTTGAGGAGAGGTGACGCATCGTGTACAATCACTCATTTCCCCCTTTCCCCCCTTCAATTCAAACAAAGAGAAACAATATCAACCGATTATTTGAGAAAAGAAATCAAGGCCAACCACGTCATAAAAGAGGTTTCAGGCTTTTCACCACCGACTCACCAAACGAGAACTCCATCATGTATTTGGTGTTGATGCTTATCATAAAGTGATAAAAACTTTTCTTTCTCAAAATGCTATCATTTAGGTACCTGAATATCATTTAATTCGAACGATAAAGAATTTAAATGGAGAGAATTTGAGATTAGAATTCGAGGCTTGGAATGAAACGTATCAGGCTGAGTTGACACCAAATCGAAAACTCGTCAGTCCGCACTTGGTGAGACTTTTGAGCACTTGATTTTAATTCTAACATATGTAAACTAACTGCAGTTTAGTATTTAAAGATTTGTTTTTTTTTATAAAAATAGAAAAATTCGAGATATCGGTGATACGAGACGGAGAAAATGCAACTCGATTGGAAAAGCTGAATCTCGATTACTCTTGCCATTATCAGGGAAAGGTTTGCTTTCAGTCTTTACTTTTATTTACTTTAAAACATTAACTCTACTCTAACCAATCAGTCCAATCAACTTCATCTTTAGCTAACCTCTCACAAAGATGCTCCAATCGCAATTTCGGATTGTCGAACACTAATGGGAACTCTCGTTCTCGATGAACACTTTCTTGTCCTTCAAACAATTCCACAAAGATTACATCATGAACAGGTAAAACTAAAAGACTAAGAGAAATCCTTCTTCTTCTTGAGCTAGTCTCAATCTTTCTCTTTAGGAAGAAAAACATTTGGTTTTCAAACGAGAAGCTTCATTGTTAACCTCATTGGAGCGAACGATCGAGGAAGAGTTAGTCAAAGTGAATGAAGTTGCTGGGGATTTTTGTGATACGAGTGAGTCGAACGATGAAGAGTTGCCAGGTTCGCTTCAAGCACAGCAGAGAGGCTTGCTCACTGAATGGGGAGAGTGGGCATCAGAGTTAAAGAATTTAAAACCATCAACTCTGGTGATCCAAGAAACCCCTTGCACTTATAATTTCTCTCCAAAAAAGGCTGAATCGTTGAGAGTTTAATCTCTCTTGAATGAGTGGTAGGTGAGCTTTGATGCTTTTCATGCTTTCCTTTGTTCAGGCTTTGCTTATTTTATAGAAATCATTGATTAAATCAAAGTTTTTAGCTGATCTCTTCGCATTGAACTACACAGTTCCACCAGCTGGTCAACTTGATTCACCGTTTATTTTCCCGCAACTTGATCCGATTACGCTAGAGATCGGATTGTTTCTTGATTCGAAATTGTATGAGCATTTTAAGAGGTAATTTTGTAAAACATCATGAAATCTAAATTTGAAAACTTTAGAGAATACATTCAAGACGCTGAGCAACATCTTCTCGACTTTTCCCTTGCTCTAATCAATAATGTCTATGTCTTGTATCAGCAGCCGACATTAAGCCCAAATCTTGACATTGTCATCGTTCGATATGAGCTCTGGAAAACGCAACCGGTATTTTTTTTCTTACCGAATTTTATTACAATTTAAATTCTAGAGTAATCTTCATACATCATTGCATAAAAATGGACAAGCACAATCGTTGCTTGATGCTTTTTGTCGACATCAGGTAAAGAGCTAACTTTTTTGAGTACAAAATGTGACTATGTAAGACTGTGTCATGCATAATATACTTTTACTTATGCTCATAATATACTGGCATACATAATATACTTGTACTTATGCTCGAATTGACAAAAACTTTAGTCAAGTATCAACCCTGGCACAGATCTGACAGACAACGGACATTGGGATCATGGAGTTTTACTGACTGGATACGATATTTACCACACAACGACTTCAGGTTAGACTTGAAGACTTGAATTTCCTTGAGAATTTCAATGTGGATGTTTTAGTGGCTGGTGTAGCACCGGTAGCTCGAATGTGTGACCCGTTATTCGCATGTTCTCTCGTCGAAGGCCTTCATCTTGGACGAAGCTTCGTTTTGGCTCATGAAATGGGACACAAGTTTGCGTCTTAACCTCTCTAAAACCTCGATTAAAGTATGGGAATGGTGCACGACGGTGTACAGAATCAATGCTCTCGCTCTTGTTGTCTCATGTCTGCCGTGAATGGAGCCGGGAAGACACAATGGAGCGAGTGCTCTGTGAGAGAGTTCAACGCGTTTTTGTTGCAATTGGAGTGAGTGCTAAAGCTGTTCTATTTTCTGGAATAAAATTCCTTTGATGATTTCAATTTCAGTGAATCTGGCCGGGGGAATTGCTTGCGGGACTCAAATAGCGGCGTCCAAACGCATAACCATTTAGCTGGTAGGTTTAAAATTTTGATACATACAATGACGCTCAAAACATATATTCCTGTTTGCATTTTTTTATATGACTATTACAAGCATATTACAAATAGCAATAAGAAAATTTCAATTTAGTACAATGTATCTCCTTTTGATTACCAACTCACGTTACCCTATTCAAGAAAATATACAGGATTACTGTAGTCTTACTTGGAGATCAGATTCGGAGATTTTATGTTTTTAAATCACGAATACAAGTTTTACGATCATTTCCAAAGCGATCATTCAACTAAGATTTTTCTGTGAGTATTCTCGGTTTTTAGATGGCCGCTTACCTGGCCAACGCTTCACCGGCGATCAACAATGTGGATATTTCTGGGGTCGAGATTACGTTGTCGAGATCCCGAATGGCCGATCGATGGATGATATTTGTCGGATTCTTTGGTGTGGAAACAGTGGCTCGACGATCTCCACCGCTCATCCAGCTTTAGAAGGGAGTTGGTGTGGAAATGATCGGGTTAGTTCACAAAAGCTTAAAAAAAACAAATACGCAAATTCAGTGGTGCATAGAGGGACGGTGTCGGGGTTGGCCGTATGGGCCGAAACCTGTCCCCGTTCATGGTGGATGGAGTGATTGGTCGACGACAGACACTCGGTGTCCCGTTCAACAATGCCATATTGCGGGCAGTATCTCGATCAAGGGACAACACAGAGATTGTGTAAATCCTGCGTAAGTCAGAGCTCATACCCGGTTTAGTTTCATGCAATCAGATCTCTTTAAACAAACACTCAAGTACAAAAAGCTTACTGAACTGATTGTGAGCTAGACGCGGAATTAACCCCAGCCTTCAGCAGACTTTATTAAACGAAATATTTCAATGGTTGACTATTTTCAAACTGAATAAGCCAACAGTTGCTTATTTAGTTGAACACTTTTAGCCCAAACAATGGTGGTCGAGGTTGTCAAGGATCGTCAATTCGAGGTCTCATTTGTGGTGCTTCTCACTCGAACTGTCGGGGTTTAGAACGACAAGAATTCGGAGATAGAGTTTGTTGATTTCATCACAAATCTTTTCTCACCTTGATACTTACATTTCCAAACAATTTATCGATTACAGGTCTGCTCTTCAATCAAAAACGATCCCCTAAAGCCGGATCGCCAATTGACTGGGGAAAGCTTTATGCGTAAGTGTATAGATTTCCAATAAAATAAAATAAAACTACAAGTAGATCATTGTTAAATTCAATTTTTAGATGACACTCAACCCTGCAAAGTTTGGTGTCATTTGATCGATTCGGAGTTGATCCGAAACAAAGGCACTTTTCCCGATGGTTCACCTTGTGGTTCAAATATGTATTGTATCAGTGGAGCTTGTTTGGTAAAGAATTTACAAGGAAATTTTCTGATCAAGAAGTTTAGACTCTTGATTGCAATAATAAAGCGGTTGTGGAGAATGGAAATGACTGTCCGGATGGAGGATTTGGGAGTACTTGGGGACAGTGGTCGGATTGGAGTGAATGCAGGTTGGATAAGGTTCAAGAATGGAGGCTATTTGTTGTAATAGATTAAGCAGATTTTTGTTAGATTTGTTTTTTATCCATTTCAATGCCTAATAGTAAATCTGTAAGCTTAGATTTTCTTTTAAAAAGTTTAAAACAATTGAACTCCCCATCCGGAACTCAAGCTTCAATCCAACACTGGAGAATTGACTGAAGAGGAATCTAAAGATCTTGTTTTATATAAAAATAGCTATTATACTTATAGAATACTTGTTTTTTTAAGTAAAACCTGTGGAATAAACGGTCGACAAAACCGTCTTCGCAGCTGTGAAGGTCGTCGTTGCTCTGGAGCTTCTGAAGAGTCAAGACCTTGTGAGCCTCAACTCCCACCCTGTGAAGAGGTTTGTAATAATTGAAAAAATAAACAAATTGCTAGTTTCTTCTAATTAAAACTAAAATTCCGATCATTTAGACATGGAATTGGCTCCCATTTGCTGCCGGGGCAAAAACCCTGCAAAGACATAGAGTAAACACTTTGCTTTCAAAAAAACTTTCGCTTCTTTCAGCCAATTACAAAGCGCTTAATAAATTGTTGAATAAATGTAGTAAAAATAAAATTTTAGGTTGGACCTTGGAGCCCGTGGTCACCATGTGATAAGAAATGTGATGAAGGAAGACAGGTAGAGAAGATTTTAAACAATACTTTAAACATAAGCTTAAACTTAACTTTAAACAATACTCAAGCGTACATTGTACTCAGCAAATGCTCCCATTCTAACACATAAGCTTAAACTTAACTTTAAACAATACTCAAGCGTACATTGTACTCAGCAAATGCTCCCATTCAATTCCTGTTTTCAGCTAAAAGAGCTAAAATGAAAAGCTAAATCCCCAAATTTGACTTGGTACGATAAAATTTAGATTCGTTCACGTGATTGTTTGGCAGTTGAATGTACAAAGGCTTTGACTGAGACTCGTGCTTGTAATAATGTAAATTAGAAAAGTGATAAGGAAATGTAGAAAACTTTAGGGTGCTTGTTACACTGATTGGTCGTCGTGGAGTGAATGCTCGTCGACATGCGGTGGTGGGGAGAGGTCAACAATTTTACTGTTATATTATAAAGATTTTTATCATTCTAAGAATGAAAATAGATCTCTATTGAAGAAAATAAAGTTTAGACAACGAAAAAGAGTTTGCGCGATTCCGGGCGCTTGCAATAAAGCAATGGAGGAGCGGGAAAAGTGCAATGAACAGGTTTGATTGGAATTTTGTTATGAAAGCCAATATTCGAATTCAATCAAAGCCATCAAACTTTTCAGAAATGTCAAGTAGAATCATGGGGAGACTGGCTTCCATGCAGTGTCTCATGCGGAGTTGGTTTCCAAATTCGAGAACGGCTTTGTGATGGAATCCTCTGTCAAGGAGGCAATAAACAAGCAAGAACATGCAATGAACAAGTAACCTAACTTCGGGAGTCAAATTAAACTCTAATTTAGCCTTGTACATCGTCTGACAATCTTCCGTTCCATTTAAGCGAGTGGAATGATTGGTCGAGTTGCAGTGAGACGTGCGGAGTTGGAGTACAGTTGCGATTGAGGAGCTGTGTAAGCGGTGAGTCCATTTAAACCTCTAAAAATGATAGAATATATATTATAATATATTATTCCTTAAATTACAATGATTTTAGTTCATTTGCTATGATTTGTTTCCAGGATCTTGCCCCGTTTCTGCTCGTCTCTCCGAGCGAAAGCGTTGTGTGATGGGACCGTGCCCAAATTGGTCCGATTGGGGTCAATGGAGCGATTGTCCCTCTTGTGATAGGTAAAACTCAATTCTACTTTTCCTCAGAATAACTAGATAAGTAGATTTATTTCTAAATCGAAAATTTTAGCTCTTTAATTCAAACCCGTACTCGTTCTTGTTCTCGATCGCTCACCTCCGAAACGCAATGTCGAGGTTTGTTTGTTTCGTGTATAATAAATTGCAATAATAATAAAGCTGATAAAATTATTGAGGAAAAACTCAAGGTTTATGTGTTTATTAAGTGAATTCGATTATTTTCTAAAACAAACCAATTTAGGAAGCTCGATTGAACAACAAACTTGTGACAAATCATGCAAAGGACCGAGAATAATAACTGCTGGAGTGAAGAATAAAATTGAAAAGCTTTTGGAAGATGAAGTAAATTTTAAATTCCTAAATTAAAAAGCAAATCTCTTATCAATTTCCCTTTTCTAGGATTGGGGAAATTGGCAACCGTGGTCCTCTTGCAGTGCCTCGTGCGGCGGTGGCTCGAAACGAAGGCGAGTTTTTCTGCCCCTTTCCGCATGGCGAGATGGCCGAGCGGTCTAAGGCGCCAGTTTAAGGCACTGGTCTCTTCGGAGGCGTGGGTTCGAATCCCACTCTCGTCAGAAATTTTTGCATTTCTTTGTAAAATGATTCTTTTTAGATCTCGGCTTTGCAAATCATCAAATTGCAAAAGTCCGATCGATTATCAGCAAGAAAATTGTAACGAGCAAGACTGCGATGCACTTCAAGGTGAGTTTTTGAAATCATCATTCAAATTCGCTACTTCTTTAAGAACTATTGTGGTCACACTGGTCAGAATGGACCGAATGTTCGGCGGAGTGCGGGGTAAGTAAAATGATAATAAAAAGTACAAAGCTGTCTTGAAACGAATCTTTTTTAGGAAGGAAAACGACGAAGATCGAGACGATGCCGTTCAATTTTCTCATTTGCTTGCTCAGCAGAAAACAAAGAACAAACCGAGCCGTGTTATTCTCCTTGCAAAAGAAGTCCCAAACTAAAAAGTGATTTTCTCAGTTTTTTGCTCTTTTTTCACTCGTCTCGCCCCTCTCTTTTCCCCCTTTTCTCTCCGCCCGACCCTTGAAAAAGGCCAAAGGGGAACCTCGACCGTGCGCCTCATTGGCTCAGTGGCAGAGCGTCTGTCTAGTAAACAGAAGGTCGCTGGTTCGATTCCAGCATGAGGCACCCCAAATTTTTGTTTTTTTTTTGAAAAGACAAAATTATTCTTTGAATCCCATGATCAATATCAGTTGGATTTCTTTCTCAAAAGTTTCTTTTTCTATATATAATACTTAAAGAAGTTTCAATTTTAGCTCCTGAATGGTCTGAATGGTCTTCATGGTCTGGATGTTCTTGTTTCACCGAGACTGAAAGTCGGCGCCGATATTGTCGCATTTCAGATCCAGCGGTGCAAGGCTTTTGCTCTGGGAAAATTCTAGAGCAGAGAAAGTGCTCTCCCCGAGTGAGTTTTCCTTAGTTTTCCTTTAGAAAAGTAATCGAGAAGTATTAATAGACAAAGAGAACACAAGATAACTTCTATTTTTTTATTTTCAGACTTGTGCGGCAACAAATGGCGGTTGGTCCGATTGGTCACCATGGTCTGAGTGTTCGAGGGATTGTGATGGAACAGGACATCAAATAAGGAATCGAATGTGCAGCAATCCTTTACCAGTTAACAAGCAAGTGAAATTTGATTTGATCAAATGATCAAAGAAATTCCAGGGGTTCCTACTGTGCCGGTTATTCATTCGATCAACGAAGCTGTTCATCGAATAAGAAATGTGAAGAAAAAGTTAGTTTCAAGAGACGAGACAAGTTTCACGATTTTCAACTAAACGTTAGTAATCATTTTTACTTGAAAATCGAAATTTCAGATTGATGGTGGTTGGTCAGAGTGGACGGGATGGTCTGAATGCTCTGATCCATGCAATAACGGGCATCGGAGTCGAACTCGGTTAGTAACATCGATTTATGTTAATTTCCTCTTATATTTCAATACAATCATTTGATTTAAATAATTGTTCAAATGTATTGTTCAAATTTTTGAATCATTTTCGAATCTTCCAGCTACTGCATTAGTCCACGCCCGTCTGGTGGTGGCCTTCAATGTTTCGGACAGGATTTCGAGTTGGAACAGTGCAGTGATCCGACTAAATGTCATAGTTGTAAGTAGAGAAGAAGTGCAAGAAGTTTTAAGTTCAATTAGTTCATAGCATGATAACAAAAAGATCAAAATGATCAAAATGATCAAATTTTGGCTGTCAAGCTTGTTCCAAACCGATCTGCATTCCTCAGTTTCACCTTTTCAGTTCATTCTTTTCCATTTCTTTTGTTCTCTAGCACAACCTGGATGGTCACCATGGTCGGATTGGTCGGAATGCCCATTAAGAGGATGTGGCTTCTTTGTACAGGAAAGGGGAAGAGTCTGTCGAGGAGCGCATGGAAATGAGACTTGTCATGGATTAGCACACATGACATCTCCTTGTCCTATTGATCCATGCCCACGTGAGCACTTTGAGTTTTTTTCTTTTAGCACTTGCATGCATTTTTTAAAGAGATCTAGTTGAAATGAGATTTTAGAAAGCATCGATGGAAGTTGGAGTGAATGGTCATCATGGTCTAGGTGCACGTCGAATTGTGGAATCGGTTTGAAAACAAGGTAAAAAGAGGGACAAGTAGTGCGAGAGTTGATAAGTGAAGAGAAATCGAGTTTAAATGATATTATTTGTTAAGAAACAGCACTTTATTTGTCGCTCTATTGAGTTTTTGAAAAGAAATAGCTAAAAGAAAAGAGCTGAAAGGAAATTAGATATTTTTACTAGAGCAATAGTCAATAAAATCCAAAATTCTTTCTCTGTAGTGTAGTTGTTTCATAAAGAAATATTTGATTTTAATGCTGGAACTAGAATTAGCTGGAACTTTAATGCTGGAACTAGAACTAGAATTAGCCTTAGCTTAGCTAACTATAAGAGATCTGGGCTGAGCTCAGTTCTCTTCATTCTACTTGAGTTGAAACGGGTTAAGGTAATTGAATCACATTTTACTAACCAAATGGTTACGAACTTACGGATGGCCAAATTGCTGAGGCCAAATTGACTACGATAATTGAACCAACTTTTACTAATCTACCTGTTAAGGGATTTTCTTGATCATCTAGAATATCTCAACTACAATTGACCACATTTAACTCGGATTATGGCTAGTCTGAATAGATGAATAGCTGAAAAAGGAATTAAACCCGCGAAAAATGGATCCAGCTTGTTTGAGAGACAAACCTCTTATCCACTAGGCCACCACCGTATCTTTTAGGGCAGTGTGCCTCAAATAGACATGCTAAAAACCTTTTTCCCAAATAACTTGCTAAATGAGATCAGATTCCCGATAAAAACTCTGCAAGATGGCCTAGGTCTCATTCCGAAACTCCACCTTGAATGGACGGCCTTCCCTAGTAAGTAAGCTTGTAATTTCTTCATTTCCAGATCTCGTGAGTGCTATCAACCACAAGATGGTGGTGCTCCATGTTTCGGCAGATCAGCCGAAGTGGCCAAATGTGTAGACGACTTCGATGTCTGCACGGCAACACTCGCACATTTGCGACAAATCGACAGAATCCATAAATCGTCGACTCTCTAGTCATTGATGTCATTCATTCATTTTCTCATCTCATTTCAGTCACTCATTCCCGGTCTGCTTCCCATTTGCCAAGTATCTCAATTTTGTATCTATTTATTGTGATTTTACTTTTGAGGGACTCGCAATTCTTTAGCTTTAAGTGAGTAATCTTTGACATATTTATCTTTCAGCTTCAATTGTTCAATCTTAAAAAACCTTGACTCTTATTTCTCTAGGATTTTGAGGCATGCTCAAAACGGAAATTTACCCTCCATTAACTCATATTACATAGTAATCTAGAGTTATCTAAATTGATACCAACCTGGCTAGAAAAAAACTAGATCCAGGTACTTTTTGTGTACAAGATATCCAGGACAGGCCAGACAGGGCCTAGCTTCTGGCCTGGCCCAGGAAAGATCCAGATTTAGAGGCATAAAACTGTTCATTCACCTATTCATTACCATCTTTTATACAAACCTATCCCTTTCTTTTGTCCTAAAATCGGCTATAGTGTAATTGCGAGTCTTTTCCTCATCAAATCCAAGCGGTCATACACGAGTACGAGTTTTTTTTTTCCTCAATCATCCTTAAAATTTTCTAATTTATCTTCTCATTATCAGGTATTCAAATTTCGAAATATTTTTGAGAATTTTCTGTGCTTTCTATTTCTCGGATCGTTAGCCGTAACCATTCATTTATAAATTTGATAAGCGGTAAATATTTGAACCATACTCTGCAAAAAAGCACATTTGCTTAAAGAGAAATATGTAATTGACTGGAAAATGGGGAAAAGATATTGAAAAATGACAGAGAAAATGCTAATGGGAATGTTGGAGACATATTATAGCTATAGGCAAAATTTGGAAACAATTTCCATCGAATCTCCACTGTATCTGCTCTTCTACTTGAGAAGCCCTACAGCTTTCAGTCATTTTATGCTTTAAACATTTAGATCAATCCTTTCGAATCGAATTGTTTTCCTCATCAAATCGAATTGTTTAGGCTGCTCTCTTGATTGAGACGAGTTGGGTTGATTCTGCATTGATTGAGACGACTTTGTTCTCTTATCCAAATCATCAACTGCATTGATTCTGCATTGATTGAGAAGACTTTGTTCTTTTATCCAAATCATCAACATGTCATTTCTTCTCAACATGTTTTGTAAGTAATATTTTTCAACAAAGAAAAAAACAAGTTAACTAAATCTTTTTAAAGTAACTTTATCAAATTCCAGCAAGGAAATCGACCAACAACACAATGAATGCAAAAATTCCAGAGGAATCTCCATTGAGAAAGCCGGTAAATTTGGAAGCAATTGTTCTAAAGAAATTTGAGCGACTTAGAAAACAGAAACTTTACCGTAGAATTGAATTGAATTGAATTTAAGCGCAAATCAAGGACTCCAACGAAAGCATCAAAGAAAATCGAGTCACCAATCGATGTGAAGAACATTCCGCTACTTATACCGAAAGAGGAAGTGCTTTCTGTTGAACGAGAGCAAATTCCGCAAATTTCAAAACGAGAACAGGCAAAAAAGGTCGGCTTTGCAAGTTAAGAATTAATTAGTACTTAGGCTTTGCAAGTTAAGAATTAATTAATACTTAGGCTTTGCAAGTTAAGAATTAATTAATACTGGAAACTCAATAGTACAAAAATGAGTTGCTTTAAAGATCTTTAAACAATCTTTAATCTTTAACGAAATTAATCAACGTTGATTATTTAATTATTTAATCAACATTTCTTCTAGAATCCTCCTCCAACCATTCCTTTCAAAATGCCGATGGATATGACGACTTATTTGAAGAAGTTAACAGAGAACAAGCTTGACGCTCCAAAAAAGGGATGTCTGAAGAAAATGGGTCAGTTTAACATTTTGAGTACGATTTGCTTCAATAAAAGCACCATATTTTTGACGTATTTTTTGTCATTCCTTGTCTGTTAACTACAAAAAAAAAGCAGGAATCGAATAAACAGAAACGTTTGTACTTTTGAGTACTTTGTAGTGCAATAGCTAAAGCATTGGCTTGAAGCTTTGAAAAAGCTTAAAGAATTTAATGGTATTATCTTTAGGAAATCACTCATTTGCTGCTGATATCTCCCAATCGAGCATGGCTGCGTCTCCTTTACCGAGTTTTCTAAGCGAACCCTCACCAAAAACTCTTGTAAAGAAATGGGATGAACAGAAGCAATTGAATGGTTTGTTTAAGTTTGATTATGATTATGCTCAAAAATATCAAAATTTTAGTTGCAAAGGCTCGCGCTGAATTGTTGGCTGTTGTTTCAAATGCGGGTTTAAAAGAAACCGAGCCAGAAACTAGAAAAGAGCGATTGAAGAGGGTTTGTTTAAAGAAAATTTGATTTAAAATCAGTAAATTTAAGTTAAATGCTTATGCTTAACTTTAATTCTTTCCCAATCTTTTGCTATATGATTTTCTGTTGAGCACCATTGACAGTAACAGTTTTCAAGTTCAAGTCAAGTCTCTTGAGCTCAAACTCTTAACTAAGTTTGCTTTTTTGAAGCTTACCTATAGATTTGATTGCTTTAAAGTTAAAAAAAACCAATACTTCTTCCAGGGAGTCATCCCAGTAAAGTACACAGATGAAGCATTCGATGAACAGATTAAACAAGCCGTCAAGCGAATCAACCGTCGCTCTCGCTCACAGCCATCGAGGACTCCGAGAACGCCAGCCTCAGCCAAGGTAACTTGTAGATATCAAAAGCTTATCTATTTATAAACTATCCAATTTAAACTTCTTAGAAACAAACTCTCGATAAAAGTGTGATGAAGGCACCAGGCACCCACTTTGAGCCAGTGAAACACACTCCTCGTGTCATAAAGAAAGCGAATACCCTTCCACAAGCAAGTTTTTGAAAATAATCTTAGCTAAGATTATTTAAAGCACCGTAATCTCAATTATTACTTTCAAATTTTCACATTTTCAAGTTTAGATCCCCCAAAAAACCCCAGCTCCAAAGACACCGCTTTCAAAAGTTAAAGAGAACAACAAAGTGTTCAAGGTATTGATTGAATCATATTTTAAAAAGTATTTAGAGCTTTGGCTCAATAGCTGAACAACCTAATAGCTTTTATTTTGCTAAACAATAGACTTTAGACTTTTCCAAAGACACCGGCTGTCAAGAAAATGCGATTGGTGCCGTTGAAGGGATTGGATGAGCCGGAAAAGAAACAAATGGTATTAGAAATTTAATTTTTCATTGAAAATTATAAAATATAATATTATTGTCATAGTATTATATAAAAATTTATCTTACTTTATGGAAAAAAATTCAAGAAAACTTCAGGAGAAAGAGCGCTCGTCGAGCATCGAAAGCAACAGGGGGAAATGGGTCGGTTTAAGAGGGTTTTTTTTTTTGTTTTTTAAGACTACTGAAATCTTTTTCGATAGAAGAATTTCAAATTTAAGATATAGAATATTATTTTACACGACCTATGAATTGTAGATGAACCTCTCGATGCCCGTGCAGACACCAGCGCCCAAACGAAAGCACGAACTGCGATTAAACAAAAGCCTTGCCACTGAGGAACCGTCAAAAAAGGTAAAACCATGAAAAATCGTTAAAAACCCATTAAAAGCTTTAAAAAAGACAATACACAGTTTTTTCTTCGCAAAGCAAAAAAAGATTGCCCACTGTCAGGATTGAACTGACGACCTTCTGTTTACGAGACAGACGCTCTGCCACTGAGCTAAACGGGCACTGTCGCCTGTTGTCAAAATATCCTTTTTGAACTCAATGACCAAACACTTCAAACAAAGTTTAAGCTATGCAAACAATTTTCATAAGACATAAGATAACGATTTTGTTCCACAAAGAAAGAATAGCCCTTATAGCTCAGTGGTAGAGCGTTGGTCTTGTAAACCAAAGGTCGGCGGTTCAATCCCGCCTGGGGGCATCAACTTTTTTTGACCAAAAGATCAAGTCTTTTATCAAAAATAGAACCTTTACAAAAGAAACATAAAATTTTTAAATCTCTAGAAAGCCAGAGAAGGCTCAACCCAGCGACGCGTTCAGCCACCTCGTTTGGCCAAATCGAATTTTATGGAAAAATTTACAGTGGGAACTTGTAAAAGTTTACATTTTGAAATCTTGTTTTCAGTTCCACTTTGAAGCCAGCCGTATCAACAAGAAAACACTGGTAAATTGAAAATTAAGTTTCGAAATATCTTGTTTAGAATCAAACGATTGATCGGACACTTCGAAAAACACCAATGAAGGTCAAAGAAGAACCTGAAAAAACACCAAAGGCAAGGAAAACTGTTCAAGTTGGTGTTCTGCAAATACTAGAATTTGTTACTTGAAAATTTAGGATACTCCTAAACTGCCCAACCCACAAACGATAAAGAAAGATGAGATGAAAGCGAAGAAAAGTGAAAAGGTGAGTCTTTATGGGTAAAAAAAGATAGAACAAAAACGAAAATCTAAGGCAATCTTTCAAAATTCAGGTTAAAGTTCAGAATAAAATAAAATATTTAGGTAAACACAAAGACTTCAAAAGTAAATGAGCAAAAGACAACCGAAGAAACGAAACGTCGTGGAAAGAATGAGATAAAAGAAGATATTAAGGATCAAGGAAAGCCGATTCAAAGAGAGGACAATAAGGTTTGGTGAAGAAGCTTTAAAAACTCATTCCTAGACTTTCAAGCTTGAGAAAAACTGTTTCAGACATCGAAGCGAAAGGCTCCAGAGCATGAGAAGGAGGAAAAAGGAGTATCGGCTATGAAAGGAAATGTGAAAGATGAAAGAGAAGAAAAGAAAAAGATCAATGATGAGAACAAGGATGAAATGCCGAAGAAACGGGAAATGCCTGTAAGGAGTGTCACTTTGAAGCAGAATGTCGTCAAAGAAGTCATTGTTGATAAGAAAGATGGAAAGGTAGGAGAAGTTGAGGCTTTTAGAAGAACTTTTAGAACTTAAAACAAAACAGCGAAGAAAGTTTATGAAAACAAGGGAAATGTTAGTTATTGCTGGAGTGAAATTTAAATTGATAGTCAATAGTTTAAATCTATTCTAATCTATTTAGAAATCGACCACGAACAGACCCAAAACCAAAGAGCCAAAGAGGAAGATCTTCGGAGATGTCAAGAACACTGTGAGTCTTTTATGAGCTTTAAAGATCAAGAGCTTATCTTAATATGGTTAATTTCTAGCTCAAGAAAGAGACTGTGACTCTTGAAGCTCGCTGTGGACAATCGCAAGCAACGAAAGAACAAATCATCGACTTGGATGCTGAGGAAAAGGTTTACATTTATAGAAAGCATTTCTTCAAGGAAATTTGACTTACTTGGCTTTGAAAAACTGAATTAATAAGACCATTTGCTAGAAGAAGAACCTCCACAGCAGCTCGTTCGCCTCACTTCTTTAAAAAAACTCCGCCAAAGTTATTGGCATTTATTTTATTGCAGTGTTATTCATTGTCTTTTTCATATTCTTTTCAATATCATTTTCTTTTTTATTGTCATTTATTAGTTGTAGAATAAATTTGTTGATAGATTCTAGAAAGCAGCAATAAATGGCATTTACCATTTTGATATACAGGATGTCATTAAAGTACATTAACTGTCATTAAAGTACATTACTGAAAAAGTACATTAACAAGTCTATATCCTGTAAAAAGTTGCATTTTCTAATCAATATTACATCAATTTATTCTTTGTGTTACGATTTGTAGAAAAAGGGGTAAAGCTTTGCGGGGAAGAAATTTAACTAACAAAAAAGCAGCAATAAACGACGTAAACCTTTGTCAAGCACATTGTTTGGTAGTGATTTAATTATATTACCATTATATTCTTGAATCTAGTATTATTTACCTATCTAGTGTTGGTTATCAAATTGCTCAAGCTTCAATGCTCCACCAGAGCTCAATATTAATCAGTGTATTTTCTTTCGTTTAGCTCATGACAGAGATGAACATGATGAAATCCTCAGCTTCATTTTCGTACACAAGAAGTAGCAAAAAAAGAGCTTGAAAAAGAGAAAAATTCGGAATTGAGAGTCCAATTCGGGGGCAGCGCCGATTTCGTGGTCTCCCCTCGATGCTAAGCGTTTCCGGTCGCCTCAATCCTTTCCCCTACCCACCCTCACTACTCCTTCATCTCTAAAAAGATCGATGAGTGAATGATGCCTCCATAATAACCTGACTCTCCAGTTTGATGTTCTTTTTGATGTGGATTCTCCGATTTTCACTAAAATTATCTTTCCCAATCTTTCTCTAAACTCCTTGAATTGAAATTGAACTTCTTCTTTTAGTGCTTTAAATTAAGAAATAACTTTTTCATTTGTTAAGTTATTATCTGTAATTTGAGTTGAATCTAAAACAATCTCTTTAGAAAAATTTACGAAATTGGAGATCAGGAAATGTTAAATTAAGGACTAACTGATGTATTGGTTATGTTAAAGGGGTTTTTTATTAAGTGAAGAAAAAAAAAAATTTTTTATTTTCTTTTTTTTTTTTTTTTTTTTTTTTTTTTTTTAAAAAAAAAAAAAAAAACCCAAAAAAAATATTTTTTGGTTTTTTTAAATTTTTTAAAGTTTGGAAATTTTGAAAAAAAAAAAAAATTTTTTAAAAAACAAAATCAAAAAAAAAAAAAAATTAAAAAAAAAAAAAAAAAAAAAAAAAAAAAAAAAAAAAAAAAAAAAATTTTTTTTTATAAAAAAAAAAAAAATTTAAAAAAAAAAAAAAAGAAATTTTTTTTTTATAAATGAAAAGAAAAAAAAAAAAAAAAAAAAGGTATTTTTTTTTTTTTTTTTTTTTTTGAAGGTTTTTTATTTAAAAGAAAAAAAAAGAAAGGGGAGGAAAAAAAAAAAAAAAAAAAAATTTTTTTTTTTTTTTTTTTTTTTTTTTTTTTTTTTTTTTTTTTTTTTTTTTTAAAAAAAAAAAAATTTATTTTTTTTTTTTTTGTTTTTTTTTTGTGTGTTTTTTTTTTTTTTTTTTTTTTTTTTTTTTTTTTTAAAAATTAATAAATTAAAAAAACTTTTTTTTTTTTTTTTTTTTTTTTTTTTTATTAAATTAAAAAAAAAAAAAAAAAAGAAGGGGGGGGTGGTTTTTTTTTTTTTTTTTTTCTTTTTCTCTTTTTTTAATATAGTTTTTGCGATTGTTTACGAAAAATCTATTACAAATTACAATTTACGGTAACCGGGGACAAACTTTAGACCAACTACCCGGGTCAATTTTCGGAAAAAAATGTGGGTTCTCTTACCGGTATTACAGTACAGGGTACATGTGTTAATCCGCTTTTTAAATCACTTTCAACTTTGCTAGTTTTGATTTAGAAAGATGTAGAATTTGTAGTAAAGGATTGCCAAGGATTCAAGCCAAGGATTGACCACAAAAAAATTACGGCTAGGCCTGCAGCTTGCATGCCAAACGCCACAATCAATTCAAAAACTCTAAGTTTTATATAGAGAATTGAAGCCTGAAATCTTGCCTACATTTCTGTACAAAAAGATCTTTAATTGGAGTTTTGCAAGCGATTTTTCAGACCCTCAAATGAGCCCAATCCGATCAATCTCCGGCAAGCTTTCATTTTTACCCGTTTTCTAACTAAAAAATCTTTTTAAGAAGAATTTTCCGGTTGTTTAATACATGAGAAAATAGCATTTTGAATGTTATGAAAAACGATGATAACACCAAAGGGTTTTGGGAATGTTAACCTAACGAGAACTTGAATTAAAGATAGCCTTTGGATGTTCAGCGATTTTGGCGAAATTTGGGTTTTTGGGGTGTTCAATTCTTAGTTTTTATGTCCGTACGTGCTGTCCTAAGGCTGTAAATTTGTTGAAAATCAATCAAAATATGCTTTTACTAAAGAAAAATCCTTCCTACATACGTTTTTTAGTTAGAAAACGGGTAAAAATGAAAGCTTGCCGGAGATTGATCGGATTGGGCTCATTTGAGGGTCTGAAAAATCGGTTGCAAAACTCCAATTAAAGATCTTTTTGTACAGAAATGTAGGCAAGATTTCAGGCTTCAATTCTCTATATAAAACTTAGAGTTTTTGAATTGATTGTGGCGTTTGGCATGCAAGCTGCTGAAAAGGTGTAGCCGTAATTCTGGCGCATCCTGTATATTTCAATTTGTTTATCTCAAACTCAATTCTACATGAGTCCAGATACAGTATAACTATTATAGCATGTAGATAAGTCACAGCACAAGTTACAGTTTTGCTTGCTTTGATGCTTATTTCATGTAAAGTTCATGTTGCTTTACTGTTCTGTCTTCCTTTTCATTCTTTGCTATATACTTTCAATGTCTATTTAGATTTTCAGTCCCTCCAAAAACGGGTGGGATGTTTGGTGGCTGCTAAGGGACGGAATTTGCTCTTTTTTCTTCTCTCGAATGGTTTCCTTCAACTAAAAGACGAATGGCGCGCTACCACGATACAAAGCCTGTCTCAGGTGAGTACCCGTCTCTTTCTCTTTTCTCTACGAATTTTTGAATTTTTCATCTTTCCCCTCACTCCTTTTGCACTAATACTATACAAATATCCTTTTCTCTGGGCCTTTGCCCTTCCCAATCTCTAACGAACACCGTTTCAAAATCGTCAAAATCTCGCGAACTCGCTTAAAAACTTGTGCTTACTCAACAGTTACTGTACTCTATCTATTATTTCATTGTTCTAGGCTGGACAGGCCATATCCCTGGGGCCAAGTGGCAGATCGGCTCACGACGTTCCGATGAAATGAGCGCGTGAGTTTGACGAACAATTCTTTTTAAGTTCTTGATCTTAAACTTGAACTCTGTGAAAACTTGGGAGCTTTAAATTTCCTTCACTTCTTCTCAATTTCACTCCGAAATTTCCATCATAACTGATTTATTTAAAAAGTGATTTGAATAGAGGCAAGAGTAGAGTTGGAAACAAGGTTATTCCAAGCCAGACTAGGCTTGATCCCGATTAAAAACCAGGTTCAGACGTATTCCAAAGAGATCTGCAATACCAAAGCCAGATCAGAAGCCAGACCTGAAGCTATCATAGGGTCTGATTCAAAAAATAGACTTTACAACAACTCTGATAGGTCAGAGCTAGTGAGAGATCTGGTCTGTACCTTTGAAATCTTGGTCTTAAATTTAAAGTCAAGGTCAAGGGAGTCAAAATCTAAATTCCAAAGTTATCTTACTTTAAACAATTCGAATCAATCTCCAGACTCAATTCGATTCTCAAACAGCCGACGAGTGTCTTTCCGCAAACAGCTCAAAATGTGAGTTTCAATAATGAATCGATTTTCCTATGCAATCATTTAGAGTAGTGAAAAAATTCACAAAATTTGCTCAGCCTGTGGGCAAGATCATCATCTAGATGAGCATGGAGATGAGGCAAATGTAAAAAAGCTTTGAAAGAATATTTGTGTTCTTTTCCCCAATCACCTTTTAAGTTCACTTCTCCATTTAATAGCTCAAAGTCTGTTTTGAGTTGAGTTCATCATCAAATCTACATTATTTCACGTTAAATCTTTGTCCTTTAGAACTCAACAATGGGACAATCACGTCCAAATGAAATGCCAATGAATGGTCAACTTCAACCATTACCCAATCTTCAAATGATGGCAAGAAATCCGTCAATGATCGGCCCTTCATCGACGGGATTCCCTTCTGGACTTTCCCAAGGACAATACCCAATGTATGGCCCATTTGGATCTACACAAGGTCTACAAACGAGATTTCTCCCGCAAATCAGCCAATCACCAATCTCGCCACAGGTGACTAAACAAAATTTTCAGAATTTAATACTTATAAAGGCAATTTATTGAGTTTAAAAGTTTAAAAATCCAATCTAATCTATAAAAATCATAAATAGAGATAAAAATGTGTTTTTGATTTGTTATTCTTCTTCAAAAACTTTGAAAAATAAAAAAGAAATCCATAAATTGACAACAGGGTTTCTTTCCAAGGCAAGCTTTCACACTTTTAAGTCAAATCTCAGCTCTTGAAGCCGACATGAAGTTTTTCAATCTAGAACTTATCCATTCCTTATCATTTGAGTTGCTAATTTACAAAAGAGCCATTATTTAATTTAAACCAGTTTCACAGTTCAGTTCGATTAAAATCTTCTATAAATTGAAATCAAAAGCTTTCAGGCCATGCAAAGCATTCAAAACTACGCGGGATCTTTGGCTCAATCGGGCCAAGCTCTTGCCAACAGTGCTCAAGCTCTTGCGCAACAAGTACAAAATGTACAGAATTACGCGTGAGTTCAATTCAATAATTATAAAAGATTTCTTGAGTTACCCTCATTCGGATCTTCTGATCTCTCCTTTCAGTAACTTCTTTATTTTTCATGATTGATTTTCCAAATAATCAAAGATCAACGTAGTCTTCTTTAAACTGGAAATCTTTGTGTAAATTCTTTTCCCACCTTTTTGTATGATGATTGTTTTGTTTTCCTTTTCAGCTCTCTTGTCCAATCGTCGTCCAACGAATCGGCGTTCCCCGGCAACCCTCCTCAACCATTCCTCTCTTCAAATCCCACTCTTGGATGTAAGACCTTTCTTCAAAAAGTTCTTTTCTTAATCATTATCTAAAAATCAAGTTTAAAGAAAATTTGAACTTTAACGGCTTTATAAAACCTCAATTCTGTCTCAAGTCTCAAGTTTTTCGTTACTTCTGAACAGAAAGGTAACAAGTTTTCAACTCTTTCTTGAATGCTATTAAAATTAAGATTTGAATTTGAATCTAATAGGATAAACTAAATAGAATAATCATCACTTTTTTAGTAGATGGAATGGTTGGCAATGGGGTGCCGATGCCATACCCGAACGACTCACAAATCAGTCAATTCGGCTTCAATTCACAGGGGATGCCAGTAAGGATTCCATCGGATGTGCAAAAGGTTTTTGATTTTAAATTGGAAACCAAAAATCAAACATTTCTAGCAATACCAACAACAGCAAAGAATACAAAATGCTGATGGAAGTTACACGGTGATCACCACAACTAAACGGGGAAAGGGGACATCACATGGCCAAAATGGGGTTCGGCTTTACTTTCGATAGCTTTAGATTATGAACCAGTTTATCAACAAGTTTTTTTTAAAGTTTCAGGATCTTCGCCAAGCTAGGGAACAAGTGAGAACATCAGCCAGTGAAGCGCAAAGACGATCCAAATCAGTACCGAGAAAAGTCGAAAAAGATGCATTTGAGGGATTGGACGGTGGACTTTACACAAAAGGAGAAGTCGCCAGAAATAGAGTAACTAGGAAATCAATGCTTAAATTTTCAACTTCTAGGAAAGACGAGAGATGGCGATGAAGGGGATCCCGATTCAGGGAGGAGATTGGAAATCGACATCGACAAATCGATTGAGAGACGGGGGAGGAGTCAGTGCCGGTGGGTTCATCAAAAACCTATGTACAGATTGTACATAGGTTTTTGAGTACTTTGCAAGTGGTGCACTCAATTCTTGCCACTTTTTTCTACACCAGCAACTAGTTAGTACGTCAGAAGGAAAGTGTTTCTATTTGTACCCACTCTGCATATTTGCTGGGCATAGTTGCATTGAGTTACCGGAGGATGGATACTACTTCCAGATCTGTCGTCATGTTCGAACATGACGTCCAAATCCTAACACGATCTCTATTATGTCCGGATCTGTACCTATAATATCTAGGCCGAAGCTGGGAGAGTTAAGCAATAGTCTGTGCCCAGTCAAGTCTCAATAGTGCCAGTATTCCTTAACACTTAACGAATTTTAGCTGGCGTTCGAGATGGAGTTGAACGAGCGTCAAGGAGAGTGCCAAGAGATGCGACAAGGGATGGACAAAGAGGTGAACGAGTCGGTGGATTTGACGGCAATGGTTATGGAGGATCTGGTGGTGCTCAAGATGGAGATGGAGGAGGATTGGATGGAAGTCTTGGAGCAAGCTTCAGGAATAGGGTATAGAACAAGGCAACAAAAGAATGGTTTTTTTGATTTTAGAACTACTTAGAAGAGGAAGAAGAGGACCAAGTGCCGGCTGCTGGCTACAGTGGACATATTCCTGGTAAAGAAAGAAGGAGAATTAAAGTCAAAAAAAGTTTAGCTTACAAGCGAATAAGTGTTGGGAAGAATTTCCACACGGCTGCTCTTGAAGCAAAAAAGGAATACATTAAAAATCGATACGGGGATAGAGGTGTGTTTGAAAGTTTTAAAGTTTTAAAGTTTTTTTCCAGAAGCTTCCGAGATTTTGAATCCAAATCGATCTGTGGCTTTTGATGAGAGTCAAGATTGGTTGAATCCCCAAATGCAGAGTCTAAACATTTCATCGGTGCCCGGTGGCGGGAATTCTTTCAACAATCCCCATCACAATGTGGGTAAAAAGGTGATGCTTTTCTGTGATTGTTTTGCAAAAGGAAAAAACGGAAGCATTTTATATACCAAAAGAGTTTGCCAGATGGCGAGCGATTACACAGCCGCACAAAGAATATCTCAGCAGTCAGGGATTGCTTTGTAAATTGTGCAAAAAAAATATTTAGCTGTAAATTTGTACCCAGGGGTTTTCAAGGTCGGGGAATCGATTGGAGCTATTCATTTTATTAAGTCTATCAATTAGAACTCGAATTAGGAACTGGTTTAACTTTTAGAGACTTTTAGAGAAACCTGGAAACTTATTAGCCTATTTTAAAGAGGAGATTTTGAAGTGAAGTAGCTTTCAAATGTTATTTTTGAAGCAGATTTTGAAGAGAAGAAGCTTTCAAATGTTATATAACGATAGTCGACATTTATCTATTCATACAATGTCCATTTCAGCCTTCACAGTACAACGAATACGTGAATCAGGCCGGTCGACAAGGGGAAAACTACGCAAATCAGGGTTTCCACCAGAGCCGATCGATGAACAATCTCCAACAATTCCAACAATTCCAAAATCTTCAACAATCCGGATATCCACACCAAAATCTTCCATACTAATCCTTTTTGAAATTTTTTAATTTATTTATTCTGATAAAGCCATGATGTGTCCGTACTTGTGAAGAACAAAAGATCAAATAAATAAACCTAATGATGGATATATTTGTTAAGAGGATCATCTTCAGAATCTTTTGTTAGAGAATCTTCTTTCAATATCGTGTCCGAGTTACCGTAAAACATTCCAATGACAGGACTACCTAAAAAAAAGCAAAAAATCGCTATCAAGAAGATTTTATATTATGGAAAATCTTTTTAAAATCTTCTTAAGTCTATAGAATTGAAAATTTAATCAATTCACAATATTGAAATCAAAATTTAATCAATTCACAATGTTGAAATCAAAATTTTGAATTGATCTAGCTGAAAATTGATTTTCTCAAGTTCCAAAGAATTCAGCTTTTTCAGTTTTTATTCTTTATTAACAGGATAAATTTTGATAAGATATAGAACAAAAAAAATGTTTAACATTATCATTTGGGTTCTTTAAAAAGTCAAAGAAACCTCACCTCCAATGTTTCCCACAAAATCCGTGGGTCTCATTTCAATGTTTGAATCTTGCGAGCCAGCTTTCATCGTCGTCATGAGAATTGTTATCAAGAATACCCCAAAAATAGACATCTTAAAAAAAAAAAGTGATAGCAAGATTGCTCTCAAAAAAAAAAAAACACCAACCTTCAAACTAGTAATCTAGAGACTGAGTGGCGGGGGTGTGGCTGAGAGAAAAGTGATCGATCGCCTTGATCGATCTCTTTGACCAAACGGTCACCTGGTTTTAAATCCAGGACAATTCCCAACCATGGCGCCACAAAAAAAAAAAGACAAAATTACCCAAAATAATTCCATTTTGAGTTGACCTGGTTGAAAAAATGGATTGCAAATGTAAAAATTTGGATTAAAGGGGGCGACATTATGGCGCCCTCTTTTCCTTGGCTAAATCCCCCAATTTTTCGATCAGTCAAAGTCAAGATTTGAGATGAAAATTGATCATGACATTGTCATAGAAATATAGATTGTAGATTACTTTGATTATTAGAGAAAAAATCAATTTGATTTTAAGAGTTCTTCAGCGCTCTAGTCCCCTCAGTGTAATTCCTTTTAGCTGAATCGTTTTCGAAATTGTATCAGCTTTTGAAAACTATTATATTAACTTGGTAAATATGAAAGGTTATTTTTTACAAAAAATATTGCCCTGTCGTTACGAAGAACATTCGCTGTCTAGGATTTTTCTCAATAATATGTCAAAATGTGCTTATGTTTTTTTTTGCAAAAACTTTTCTTTTTTGAATAATATTTGTATTGTTTCAGCTCGACAAAGATGGATAACCAAAAATTTAAAATCAGAGCTGCCATATTCTTTGAATTCAAGTTAAACAAGAAAGCTACGGAATGCCATCAGAACATTTGTACTGTTTTTGGAGAAGCTCCTCTTACTTAGAAAAACAATGTTGTGTTTGGTACGATCGCTTCAAAACGGGGAACGAGTCATTGGAAGATGCACCACATGGAAAGCCACCGATTACTTTGGACGATCAGCTGTTACTGAACGAGGTCGACTTGGATCCATCGCAAAAGTGTAGAAAATTAGCAGAAAAGTTCGGATGCACTCATGTTACCATTGAAAACCATTTACACGTTCTTGGGAAATCATATCGAAGCGGGAAATGGCTCCCCCACGACCTCACTGATGCCCACAAAGCCATACGAGTCACCCTGAGCTCTTTTCTTCTACGCAAAGCTCACCATCGTGACTTTTGGAAGTATTTTTTGACATCTGATGAGACTTGGCTTCCGTATGAAAACATTCAACTCCATGGACAGTGGCTGAGTTCGAAGCAGACCCCTCATCCAATCCCGAAGCCTCCGATACACGGGAAGAAAGTTATGCTCTGTGTGTGGTGGAATACTAAGGGATTGGTTTATTTTGAAGTATTAGATAAAGGCGAGACTGTTGATGGAAGACTTTATGCAGAACAACTGGGTCGAGCCGAGCGAGCACTGAGGAAAAAGCGGATCGATCCATCAAAGGTCAGATTTCTTCACGACAATGCTAGGCCGCACATTTCAAAGGTCGCCCACGAACAGATCGATAAGTTGGGATGGAAACTTCTTCCTCACCCACCATACAGCCCTGACCTAGCCCCATCGGATTACCACCTCTTTCGGTCTATGAAACAAGCGGTTTCTGGAAAGCAGTTCAAGCAAAAGCAGGACATCGAAAATTGGGTTTTCGACTATTTTGCCTCTAAAAATCTTCAATTTTACGAGGACGGCATTCGTGATTTGGGGCGACGTTGGGAAGAAGTTATTAATGCTTGTGGTGAATACATTTGATTTTGAAAGTGTTTCAATAAATTTTTCTGTTATTTTAAAAATGATCAAAAAAAATAACCTTTCATATGTACCAAGCTAATATATATGCTTTATTCAGGGGGCGATTAGAAGCGAATCAGATAATCATCACCGCATATAACATATTACTACAATACTTTCAAAAAAAGGAAGAAAATTAAAAATAGTACAGTAAGACTACAGTTAGGTACAAAAAGATAAAATATAGGGTAGATTTGACATGTCAATAAGATCTAATTCGTTTACATTTCAATACTTTCAATTTCCCTACAGACGAGAAGATACCGGGCGGGAGCTTATTTTTCAACAAATTTTCAGCTTCCAAACTCTACTAATAGGGTTCGCAAAAAAATGATAAAGGGAAAGATGATGGGGATGAGAATCGACCGACCGAATCGAGAGAATTCTATTGATATTCGAAATTTGATAAGGATAACTACGTGTACTTCTAGGAATTTCCACAATTTTCAAGAGGCTTTAAAATTCTGGATGCGATTTAGGGTGGAAAAGAATTTTATAGCAAAAAAATAAGAGCAAAGTAAATACGGCGATATAAAAGGGGTTTTAAATGAAAAACTATAAGGCTAGTCTCATAATTTGGAATAAGAGAAGAAGAGAAACAACGAGTGTATGCTTTTTTATTGAAACGCCGTTGAACATTTTCAACCAAGGTGTTTCTTGGGTTTTAATCGATGGATCTAGTTATTTATTAAATTTATTTTTAGGTTTACTACCAAAAGATATAAAAATAGATAATTGATGATTTAACTGAATTCAAGATAAAGTCCAACCTCGATCTAACGACTCTCGATTTAACGATGTCAATTTTTGATCCCTTGAAAGCTTACCTTAAAAAGACGTTCGATTTAATGATGAAGAATTCCAGTCACTTTAGAATCGTTAAATCAAGGTTTGACTGTATTTTAAAGTTGCTGGAAAAAGGATTTATTTAAAATGTTTATAAAAAAGACAATAAAATGCATAATATCTAAAAAATTGTAAGTTATTCAATGAGATATCTCTTTATGTAGAGTCCAAATTATCATATTTCTTTTGGCATTCACTGAAGTCACTTTGAATCCGAGCTCTTCAGCCACATTCAACACTTGTGATGGGCTCTTCTCCGTTGTTCGCCAGTAACTAAACTCTTTTTAAAGTTTATTTGAAATTTATCTGATTGATAAGTACTTTCTTCGTTTTCTAAATGAGCGATCTGAGACAAACGACTCTCGATAACGACTCTCGATTTAACGATGTCAATTTTTGATCCCTTGAAAGCTTACCTTAAAAAGACATTGAGATTCTAATTGAGACAGGGTAAATGAGCGAATGTCTCCAACTCTTCTGGTAAACTTAGTGAAATGAATTTGATAAATTTAGAATTGAAAAACTTACTGATCTTGTCGTTCGGTGTTTTGCTCAGTTGCATATTTCTCTAATTCTGGAATGAGAAAATTTCCATGATCATTTACAAAAATGGTATGAGTGAGACAGGGTAAATGAGCGAATGTCTCCAATTCTTCTGTTCCCTCTTGATACGCTGTCACGATCACGTACGGCATTTTCTGAATTCATTGCTTGAGTTTAAAAATTGTCTATGATATCACAAAAAACAATACTTTTTAAAGAGATGAAATTTTAAAGAGCTTTTCTAGGTTTAGAGAATATTAAAAAAGTTTTAAAAGAAAGACTTTTGACTCATCATTTTATTTGAAACTTGAAAAATAAAAGTAATTTCAAATACGATTACCGAAAACTGAAAACTGTTTGACTTTAATCCTGTACTTGTTTTGACAGTTTTGTGTCCTCTGCCGCAAAGTTTTACATCAAATAGTCACACACGAGTGTAAACAAGAAATGAATGCATTCTCTTGCCTTTTTTCCAATCATCGGCATTTCTCTTTTCGAGCAAAACATCAAAACAAGGTCATCGCGAAATAAAATCAACAAAGACCGGGTTGTTCTTTGAAAATCAAGTGCATTTCTTGAATTATTTCAGTAAAAATCTTGGTTTTTATTCGATGATTATGATTATGAATGAGCTACATTATACCAGACGGATATGCCAGATCTCGAGCGTTTACGCGGCCGCACAAAGAAATGAGCTAAATTCAAAATGAAACTCAAATTATGGAAATTCTTTAAAATCCTTTTCTGACTCTGATTTTCATCAGCTTTTTACCTTGATTTCGAGTCTGTCAAGTCCAATTATCAATTGGCTATGATATTTAAATATCATAGCCAATTGATAATTGGACTTGACAGCCAATTGATAATTGGACTTGACAGCCAATTGATAATTGGACTTGACAGCCAATTGATAATTGGACTTGACAGCCAATTGATAATTGGACTTGACAGCCAATTGATAATTGGACTTGACAGCCAATTGATAATTGGACTTGACAGCCAATTGATAATTGGACTTGACAGCCAATTGATAATTGGACCTCTTGTTAAACTAAAATTTGCTATGATATTTAAATATCATAGCAAATTTTAGTTTAACAAGAGGTAAAAATAGTAGAAAAATACTTTTATAGCCAAAATTTTTTTGGAAAAATAGTGATGAAAGAAATAGCCGGTTCAAAAAAGGTGCGCACCTTATGCCAGACGGATATGGCAGATCGCGAGCGATTACGTGGCCGCACAAAGAAATGAGCTATATTCAAAATGAAACGCAAATTCTTTGAAATCCCTTTTCCGATTCTAATTTTTAGCTTTTTACATCAGCTTTTTACATCAGCTTTTTACATCAGCTTTCAAGGTTTCAAGCCTTAAATATCATAGCCAATTTTAGTATAACAAGAGGTAGAATTTGTGAAAAACTTTTAAAGCCAAAATTTTCTCAAAAAATTTCGGCCTAGTTGCTGGAAAACCTGAAAACCCATGAAATAACCGGTTCAGGGAATAAGGGAATAACCTTATGCTAGACGGATGTAACAGATCGCGAGCGATTACGCGGAGGCACAAAGAACACCTCGAGTCTCTTGCATCGGAATTTTAGCTTTTAGAAATGTAGAAATTTGGAAAGCAAAAATGCCTTTTTCAAGTGTTTTTTCTGTTAATTGGTTTATTGGTTTTCAATTTTATTTAATTGCATCGTTCTAGTGCACAATATTTGAGGTTAAACTCTGTGTTTTGACCGGTTTTGGTCTAGGTGTTTTGGCTTGAGAATCGCTATGGCTTGGCTCAATCAAAGTCGGTCTTCGCATTCGGGAATCTTTTCTTAATCCGAAGATAACACAATGTTGCGTCAAAGTAAACCGGTGTGTAGATTAATAAGATCAATGTGTAAGCGGTTGAGTGAAAACATGGTAGATACGAGAGAAGTTGTTCGAGAACTAAAAAGTTATTTTAGTGGCAAGTTTTACGAATCTTTAAACGCGTAGGATAACGGTAATGCTTGCTATAAATCTTTAAACGCTTAGGATTACGGTAGTACTTGCTATGAATCTTTAAATGCGTAGGATAACGGTAGTACTCACTGTTAACATCTATGTGAATAAAAATCGCAATGAAACTAAATCCCATCGGTAACATGAAAAGAAAAAACGTTGCTCCTAGCTAAATGATTGTTTTAAGATCATAATTTCTTGGTTTACTTGTAGAAGTAGAGTCATACTGAAGCTTTTCTGCATTTCAAAAGTTCTCTCCGATAAAATCGCTTTCATTTGACTTAATTGACAAAATATCGAAAAGACAAATGTTATAGAGAAAGCAATGATCCAAGCAAGAATGATGAAGACGATAATAAACCAGATTTTCGTGAGTGGAGTCAGAAAATACTGTACGGTTTGAATGTATTCAAGCCGAGGATCAGTTGAGTTTACCTAAAGTATGAATAAGTGCTCTTTTGACCTACGCTTTTCCTAAAACTTGTCATCTTTTGAAAAACTACGGTAATCTACAGTCAAACTTGAGCTTCTTGTCACTCACTGGTCCCGCGTTATCCTGACTGGCGATCACGAAGAAAGTACAGTTGATGATATTTCCTAAGATTCCACCAAAGTGCACAATACGCATTTGCCCCTCGGAAAGCTTCATTTTATTGCCAGGTGGAAGCATTTGATTTCGTCGATACATCAATGTTGACATTAAACCGCAAATATTGGCCATCAAACTGATTACAATAAGACTCTGAAAGTTATTTAAGACTTAGAACAAACTAAAGTCTTTTTTGACATTAAAACCTCAACTCACTGATTGAATTGATGCTGAAACGGAGAAAAATCGGCTGAGAATCCCTGTACATCCCATTGCGACATAGGGAAAGAAAAAGAAAGGACGAACGAGGAGATGAGAACAAAGATCGAAGTTTGACATCCAGAACTGGAAATTCAACGATTTATCCTTTTGAGGTGATAAAGTTAATGATGTATTTAAACTAAAAACGGTCAGCTAGACTAGATCAAGGTTTTGACTAGACTTTTTGTCGATTAAGCTCGAGAGCGCTAGATTTTGATCAATTCTTGTGATCATTCTCAAATCTAGCTAAAATCAACGAATTTTGCATAAAACATTATCAACTTTACATCAGTAATTGTTGGCAGGGTTATTTCAAAGTCAATTTTATTGGACAAGACTTGGCAAGACTGTGTTAGAGTCATAGATTGAGAATAAATATTAAAGTTTGCCATGAAGAACCGGTTGGAAAACTCCCTGTTTGCTAGTTTAAAAATAATCCCCACCTGTACAGTTATCAAATATTTTCTATATTCTTTCATCTTTTCCGGTGTATGTTTGACAACGATAAAGAAAGCAAATCCATTGATCGCCATTTCAATTGGCACAAAGCCGAGCTCAAAGATGAAGAAACTTTCCGCAAAGTTGAGTGTGTTGTTCACAGCCACATCCATCACTAAAAAAAAAGATATTGTATTAGGCTGCCCGGAAAACCTGTTTAAAACCAACAAATGCACCAATTAAGCTACGTTTTTTTTCATTAGAAAGGTCAATTATTTTTCTGTACATTAAAATGACTTTAAAATCTCTTATTTCTGAATTCTTTTGGGAGTGCGAAGTCGGATAATTAAAATTATGATTCAGTTTTAGGCACTTTAGCTAAAGGAAATCTATTTTTATGTAAATAGAGGAAAGATAGAGCACAAAAAGTTACCGTAAATACTGTAATAGTACCCCACTTCCCCTCGTACAGTCGCGTAGTCGCAAAAGTTTTTTAGTATTTCATTTTTTTCAAAGCGCCTGTACTTTCAAAAAATGCGTCTTTGGCATCAAAAAATAGCTGAAATTCAGGGCTATTTTTTGATATCTAAGCGCTCATTGTAGCATCAACCAGTGTCGAGAAAAACTTGTTCAAAGCTAGACTACGCAACACTCTACACCGTCATTATGGGGCTGGGGTACTATTACTGTATTTACGGTAGGTAAATAGCCAAATTTTCAGAGAAATTCATCCAGCCAATTTCTTCGTAGAAGTTTTTATGAATTTTTACGAAAAACAAGGTTTTCACTTTCGAATTTGTTTGAAAGTGGAGCCGAATTGACTTTAAAAGTTGGAAATTGAACAAGAAACATTTTTTATTTAGAAAAACTATAGGTTAATTCGTTTATTTGTTATTTTTCAAGGAAAGTATAAAGAGAAACAAGAAGACTTTTTGGTATCTATGTTTTATGATAAGCCTTTAAAAAGAAATTCAGAACTTAAAAGATCTTCAAGAGTTTGAAAACTGATTTTATAAGGTAGCAGTTACAAGAATCGTTCTCGAAGAAAAAGGAAGAATTCCAGAAATCAGTTACACTTTGAAAAAAATGTGACCAAAGATTGTGATTGTGAAATGAATGATGATTTTCGTCGATTGATGAAATGAAAGAGTTATGATTTGCGAGTTTTCGATCGCCGCTATAATTCGTTTATTGCTAAAGTCGAAAAAAAACAGTGTTACGGAAAATGAGAAAAAAAACTCGTGTAAGTCTCGTTTTTCCCTTTAATTTATGAATTGGTTTTATAAAGGTAGACACGGTTTCATTTCAAAACAGTTTCATTCAGTCAGAAGTTTGGAGTTTTATGGCCTGGAAAGTGAAGTTTGTATTCACAATAGTTAGACTTGGAAAAATTAATGTTTAATTGGATTTTCTTTGTCTACCGTATTTTCTCTAATAGTAGTGCCCTCCGGCGAGCCGAGTTGATGACGATTTTACGGTTTCGAAGTTTTCACAGAAGCTTAACACTCTAATCCCCCACAAGATCTCATCGTCAGCTACATTTTCCGACCCCACATCGATAGGTTCTCATAAGCGGTTCTCGAGATTTCGAGGAATTTAGGGTCAGGGTGCACTACTATTAGAGAAAATATGGTAATATGAACTTTGGATTCAAGTTTGAAAGTTTCTTTGCAAGCTTGAAAATTCCAGAGTTCAATGTCGATACTAAGGTATGTTTCAATTGAAAGAATGAAGCCGAATAGACGGAATATCTTTAAAGCTATTTAAAGCTATTTAAAGACATTCATTAGCTAAAGTTTTCAGTTTTCATGGCTAGATACCGATTATCGATAGGCTGTCATTCAAGAGGCTGAGACTTTACCGTACTTGTTCTCAATAGTCACAAAAATGACAACTTCTAGTTTTGATTTCAATTCATCCACTCTAATATTTCATAGAGTAAGACCAAACTAAACTTACTGTAGTTTTTAAAGGCTAAATTTATTATTTAAGTTATTTGTGAAAATTTTTGTTTATTATTTGATTATTTGAAAAGAAGCCTTTTAATCTTTGAACGATAGATGTTTTTATTTGTAAATGTTTGCAATGCAATCCTTTATGCATCCCTTTCAGTCTTGCATGATGCTGAGTCTGTGTGCAAATTTCGCCGGTCTTATGTCAACACTGATGTACCGAAGAAATCAAATGTTGCCACCGGGTAGCTTTAAATTCTCGGAGACGCAAATGCGTTTGAGCTATTTCTCTGGAGCTATTATGCAAGTGGCAAACTGCATCTATTACTACATTGCCGAAATCATCAAGAAATCATGAAGAAATCAATCTCTTTAATTCACCTGAAGTAACAGTGTCATGCTGAAGTTTTTCTGCATCTCAAATGTCCTTTCCGATAAAATCTCTCTCATTTGCAACGATAGATGTTTGTATTCGTAAATGTTTGCAATTTCAAGTCTAGATGTCGATATTAAATATTGATAAATGAAATATATTTACAATCCTTTTCAGTGAACAATATTTGAGGTTAAACTCTGCGTTTTGACAGGTTTCGGTCGTTGCACCGTTGTCTCACTGTGACTCGGCTCAATTAAAGTCGGCCTTCGCATTCGGGAATCTTTTCTTAACCGAAGATAGCACAATGTTGCGTCAAGGTAGACCGGAGTGTGAATCAATAGAATCAATGTGTAGACGGTTGAGTGAAAAGATGGAATATATGAAATAGCCATTTGAAGAACTAAAGTTTACACTCGTTTTCGAACGGATAAACGGCTTTGGAGGAGTTTTTGTCTGACTAGGCAGTTGTTTTTTGTGTTTATTTCGGTATTTGTCGATGAAATTCATCACTTTTTATGTATAGAATTTAGCAATTACAAAAAGTTCTTACTTGGAGCGTCCATTTGAGTGAATATCGTTACGAAACTGAATCCCATTGGCAAGAGAAAAAGAGTGAAAGTGGCACCAAGCTGGAATTTGTTGGGATTAACTGGATTGGGAAATCGGTCTTAGTTTTGTTTTCTTTAACAGCAAAGTATCAAAATAAAAGCAAATGGAATAATCATCAAGAAATTATCAAAAAACATCAAGAAATCATGAAGAAAACTTCAAGAAATCATGAAGAAATCAATCTCTTTAATTCACCTGAAGTAACAGTGTCATACTGAAGTTTTTCTGCATCTCAAATGTCCTTTCCGATAAAATCTCTCTCATTTGAGCCAATTGAAAAAAGATTGAAAAGACGAAAATCAATGAGGCGACAAGAACCCAAGCACAGATAGCGAATATAATATAGAACCAAATTTGCAGCAATGGATTAATCGTATACTGCACGGTTTCAATGTAAACCAAGCGAGGATCACTAGCGTTTACCTAGAGTTTAATGGCTTTTAAAGTCAATTTGGCTCCACTTTCAAACAAATTCGAGTTTAGCAAAAACCCGACTCACCGGTCCCAAATTGTTCAAACCGGCAATGTAGTAAAAGATGCAGTTTGCCACTTGCATAATAACTCCAGAGCAATGGCTCAAACGCATTTGCGTCTCCGAGAATTTAAAGCTACCCGGTGGCAACATTTGATTTCTTCGGTACATCAGTGTTGACATAAGACCGGCGAAATTTGCACACAGACTCAGCATCATGCAAGACTGAAAATGATGCATAGAGAATTCAAAGTTTATAAACATATCAGCCAAAAACCCGGCTTAACACCTAGTTTTTCTGGCCGGCTGTCGCTTATCGCAGTCGGGAGTGCGCTTGTCTACGGCCCAGGCGCAGTCGAAACCCGGGTTCGACCCCAATAGTGCCAATCTTTTTGACTTTCTTAGTTTTCTTTTTGTTTTAAATAGTACAATTATAGCATATTTTAGAAAATGGCTGTGAAAATGCCCGTACAGACAGACAGACACTGCTCTTTTCTATATAGTTTTTGCCTTGATGGCCAAAAGTGGATCTTTTTGATGTTTTCTAATAGGAAAATTGAATTCTGGTGTTTTTATTTAAAAACTAACAGCCGTTTCCTTCACTTCGAGAATTTTGCTTGCTTAATTTCGTAACTGTTTTCTCAAATTGCTTGAAACAAGAAACTCTTTGTCTAGTTTTGATCGCCAAATTGCAATTAATGCAATGAAATATTTTATGATGAATTTATCAATCTTTTTACAGTCTGAAATAGCAAAACATTCTTCAGAACTAGTCATGAAGCGAAGATTCTCGAACTCACCATTTGTAAATGTGCAGGTATATGAAAGAGATGACTTAAAAAACCCGTAGCTCCCATCGCAACATAAGGAAAGAAGAATAAAGGACGAATGAGGGCATGAACACATAAATCAAAAACAGCCATCCAAAACTAAATTTGATGTCTTCAGATTAAATAAACCACGGAAGAAAAGGTTAAACTCACTTGAACGCCGATCAGATACTTTCGATATTGTTTCATGGTTGCTGGTGTGTGCTTGATGACGATGAAGAAAGCAAAGCAATTGATTATGGTAGCAAATGGAGCAAATGAGAGCTCATAAATGAACATTGTATCCGTGAAGTTTAGACCAATCGAAACAGCTTCTTCCATTCTTTAGATTAGATTTGACTTTGGCTTAATTGAAGTGTTAGCTTTTCGGTAAATTAGTGAACTTTTCAGGTAGTAGAATTGATCAGTTGGGAGAAGTAGAATTGATCAGTTGGGAGAAACTTTTCGAGGCTGACTTCCAATCTTTCCCACTGAAAAGCACTGTTTAAAAGGCGATTAAAGAACGACTGATGAAATTATTGTCGATTCTGGTGCTTTTTCGTGATGCCACTTATGATTTGCGACAATTTTTGCCTCCGCTTTAATTTGTTTATCGCTAAAGTTGAGATCTCCAAAAGAGAACACATTTCTGTTTTGTTTTTTTCAATGAATTTAGATTAAAGTGTCATGTCAATGTAACTATTTATGATAAGTTTCTAGTCTTGTACCTGGTCTGTAAAAATGTTTTTGTACTATTTGAAATTTCTTGTGATTTCTGTGCAATTTAATAGCTTTAATTGCTTTATAAACAATCTAATGAAGAAAAGTGAATGAAACATTCCCAGGGGATTTTCCAATCGTCCAATCAGGTCAAGCCGAAGTGAACCAATCCTGAACTTTCTGAACTTCTTGCTAAAGATATAAGTAAAAGTTTTTAGTCAGTACTACTTTCAAATACATTCTCTGACTTTGCCAATGAGTACTTATTTGGGTGCAAATTTAAAAAACAGTCAATTCCAAGGTTTCAATTTGATTTTGACAACAATGTTGAGTTTCCACACAAAAAAAAAACATTTTTCACAACGTTTTTCAGACTATCTCAACTCAATAATGAATCATTTTGTTTAAATTCTCTTCTCTATTTGTTAAATCCAACTTTTATCCGAAAAATCAAGTCAATCTAATTCGAACTGAATAGTTTTTATTGCAAAAAGCAAAGAGAAAGAGATTTCAATGTCCTTTCTCCTTTTCTCCTTTCTCTTTCACTCAGCTGTATGTGCATTTTTGCGGGCGTTAGTTTGTAGAAAGGTTTTATTTGTCTTGAAATCATGGCACTCGCCCCACTTGAGTGCATCAATTGAAGACACTGAGTAGAACTACTCGAGTAAAGGAAACTCATCCGCCCATTCGTTTTGGTCACCTGATGGACTCTATCCTTTTCTACATCTTTCTTTAAAGATTGTTTCAACATGATTGCCTATTTCTTGCTCTTTTTATTAATTCGAAACTGTGAAGGGCAGCGTGGGGGTCCGGGTGGAGGTGGAGGAGGACCACAGAATGCAGGCCAACAACAAAGAGGCGGTGGAATGCCGAGTCCACAGGTGAGAATGCAGCCACAGATTCAGAATAGACCCCAACAGCAGCAACAACAGTCTCGACCACAACAGATTCAGAGTAGACCCCAACAGCAGCAACAACAGTTTCGACCACAACAGATTCAACAACGGCCGCAATTTCAACCGCAACAACAACGACCGCAAGGCCAACAACAAGGCCAAGGTGCACAAGGTGGGCAAAAACCGATGCCCGGACCCGGACCAGGTGGCTCTCCCTGGGGCTCACCTGGACCCAAACCTATGCCTGGACCTGGCCCAGGAGGCTCACCTGGACCTAAACCACCTATGCCTGGACCCGGCCCTAACCCTAGTCCAGGGCCTTGGACACCACCACCTGGCCCAAAACCCGGACCTTCTCCTATGCCTGGACCTGGACCTAAACCCAATCCTCCTCCCGGCCCTGGGCCTAACCCTCCGCCTCGACCAGGCCCTAATCCGTCCCCAACGCCTATTCCTGGACCTGGGCCTAGACCAAATCCATCACCTATGCCTAATCCGTCTCCAAATCCAAACCCAGGCCCTAGGCCTGGTCCAAGTCCATCACCGAATCCAAATCCTCGAACGAATCCAACTTTTCCTCGAGTGATAACGACTTCGAATCAAGCGAGAAACCCAGCTCCACCTCCTCCTCAACAACCGATTCAAAGAACCCCCAATAATAATCGAATAAACGTTCCAAATGTGGGCACAAATTTACAAAGAGATTTCCAGCCTAACCCTGCTTCTCAACCAGCGAGCGCTAACCCAACAGCTTCTAACAATGCTGATACCTGTCCAAGTAAACTAATAAGATAGAAATTTATAAAATTTATTGCTTTTCAGATACTCGAAACGTGATGTCGTATGATAGCTCAAAATTAGCAGTGACTTTAAACGATGCGATGAAAGATTTCCCGAATCTTTTACAAGGAAACGGGCCAACGTTGACAGAGGTTGACAAATGAAAAATGTTTTTCAATCAAAATTTAGATGCTAAATGAAGCCGGAACAATTTCACAATCGTTAAACGAATCTCAAACGGATGACTCAAACCCGATGAATTGTAATTCGGCTGATTGCTCGGGTTGTTGGCTGAATTTGGTTCGACAATTCGCACAGCAAGGCGACTCTTGGTGGCAGAATGTTTAGTGAGTTTTAGAACATAATAACAATAAATAGATCTTTAAATTGAATCAATTAGAGAACGTTTTATAAGCTAAACTTTAGCAAAGAGCACGGTCCACAAACCTTTGGCTGTCCACTCGTTCAATCGGTTCCTCAAACTCCACCAAATCAAGCAATGATCTCGCAAGTCACTCGAACTTTTCCAACGTCAAATCGAGGGAAACGACAAGCTACAACAACAATGAATTCAAGTAAATTTGATGAATTTTCAAAGGAAAGACAATATTAGCTGTAATCGGGACAACGGCAAATGTACAATGCTATCAACGAGGCGATGTGCTGCCAAGTGGAGGGAATTGGTGTGGATTGTGTAGTATGTGTTGGAGGTGGAAACTTATATATTTTATGATATCATTTAAACAATCCGATTCTATTTCTTGTAAATTTCAAGCTTCACTCATCGACTTTACTTGATTTTAAACTAATTAACGTCGTAAAAACAGTTCAAATTCGTTTTAAAGTAATAAAATTTTGTTTTCTTTGCCTTGATATTATGCAAGTATGACTTATTTGATTCAAATTTGATTCAAATTTAATTCAAATTCCAGATTCCGTCAACTACCGAGCAATTATTTTCCAAGATTCATCAATGAGATCGGTTGCGTAGACACGGATAATTTGTGCTTATCAAGTGAGCTTTCTTCAAAACTGACTCATACAAATCAACAGCTCAAAATTTGTTCAAACTTGTAAAGTACTCTTAGTACTTGATCTTTCCGAGAACCTTTATGATCATTTCTTTATTTGTTTACTCACTCGATTTCTGGTTGATTCCAAGAAATTTACTGGTAGACTTTGGCTAACAAAAAGTTGCTAAAATTGTTTTTATAACAAATTTAAAGTTAAAATTGTTAGCGCTCAGGTTTTGGCACTTGTCGTCCAGTCACACAACCCGTCGAAGTGATGATGCAAACCTCTTCTGGCTGGCAACAGCTTTCCGTGCAAAGTACAACTGGATGTGATTGTCAAATCCTCAATTCCAGTACTTTATTTGATCTTGTTTCAAGTTGACCAATCAATTAACCAATCTCAGCCACTCATTGCCTATCGAAATCTCTTTTGGTGTATAAATGGTTGTCATTCTAGACATGGTAATTGGTTCGGTTTTGGAAAAGACTTTGAACGGAACCGAACCGACACAGGGTTTCAATTTCAGATACCTCATTGGCGATTATTTGTTCCTTTTATTATTCGATCAGATCCAAATTGAATCAAATTCGAATTAAATCCAAAAGAAAAGTGAAGTTCCTTTTATTACTTTTTAGAGTTTTTATTTGGTTAGGAATAGAAGTGATAGATTTTGAATCGTTACTATGTCTACAATCTACTGGATTGTGTTTAAAATAAGTCTAGGTGTAGTTCGAATATGACTTATTTAGAATATTGGTTTATTCAAAGCATTCAAAGAAAAGAGAACATTTGCTGTTATTTTGTAGAGATGATGGAGAGGTTTTGTAGGGTGTAAGAGAAATCGACGAAAAACTGTCGGTGTAAGCAACGGGATCGATGATTGATGCAATCACCCATAAATGACTGATTGCATTGTTTATTAGCGACTTTCTTAGCTCCCGGATTTTCACAACTATTCACTATTTGCAAATTGGGGTAGAGATAAAAATGCCGTTAAGCAAAGAGTTTTTGGATTCATCAATTCCTATTCAAGGGATCAATAATACAAAAATCACAAAGGGATAAATAAAATAATTAGAAGGAGTCCTTTTTTTCATGTTTTTCGATGTTTTTTCTGTTTTTTTATTTTTCATTTCAATATCGAATTAGAGCAGCCTTTGGCTGCTAAATCATTTTTCGCAAGAACATCAATCTTCATATGTTATCTAGAAACAAAATCTCTCGGGTAATAGCCGAGATATTCAGCTGTTCGGCGGCAATCTTCGTGTCGCTTTTGGAGACCTTTGGAGAAACTTTTGAATTTTTTGCAGCTTGGGTGATTGCTGAACATTGTTTTAGTCGCTTTATACTTATTGTAGCCAATTTTTACATCTTCCCAGTTACTGATTTTCGAATAGTTTTCAATATTCTTTTTGATTGTTGAGCTTTTTCTTCTCGATCCTCGGAATTTCCCCAATTCACACCATCAACGTCTGTATCTGACACAATGGTGGTGTTGTTGTTCTGTGCCTGGATCATGATTTAAAGAAAAGCTTTATCAAGTTTACCAACCTGATGTTAAAGCTTTAGAAAAAGAAAAGAAAGGCCTACGCTTCGAAACTTTGCCATCCATTTTTCACCCAAATTCTTTGATCCGGGCACTTTGCAACTTTCCCGTTTTTCCGAAAAGATTGGAAGGTGTTAAAGGCGTTGTTTTTCCAGGCGAATCTATCCTCTGGTCAGATCTGAACACAGAGGTGCTTCAAGCGTATCGGGGGGACTATATCTAAACTAGGATTGGCCTTATCGACGTTTGGGGTCACAAGTATGATCCTTGATTATTTCTCTTCATTTTGAGACAAACCATGACTAAATCGGTTGTCGGATGAGATTTTTTAGACAAGATGAAAGATGGTCAAGCCGCCTAAAATTTTAAAAAAAAATGTGTTAATAGCGAAAAAAAAATACGACCGAGAGAAAAGATCAAAAAAAGTGTGAGCCATTATTATTTACCAGCCCTCTTATTCTCGCTTGTTTCAATTTTTTTTTGTCTAGATAAACCAAAAGAAATGCCTTTCTTATCAGAAAGTATTGCTTCGATTTCAGTCATAGTGAATTCTTGACAGCGTATTCCTTTTCAATTTTTTGTCTAGATAAACCCAAAGAAAGGCCTTTCTTATCAGAAAGTATTGCTTGGATTTCAGTCATAGTGAAGTCTTGAAAGCGTATTCCTTTTCAGCACTCGCTAAAATGCCGCCAAAAAGTCAACAATCACAAAAAGTCAACAATAAGTCAACAAACGACACAACACAGCAAGTAAGTCAGCACCTATGATGAAAATTTAGAATAACGCTTATCAGTACAAAAAAAAATACATAATTTATAAAATCATAAACCACGTTTTGAGCAATGTAAAACAAAAACGCTCCAATGCCCGGGCTATTTCCGAGTTCTACTTTTTCTAAAGCTATAGTATAGAAAATACAAATGATGTGAACGAGCTGACTTAATATGTATTCAAAAAAAACTAGAGTAGCCGTGTAAATTTTTAGGACCCCACCCCGAAGGAGAAGCTCTCTACAGCTATAGACGAGCTCAAAAATGTTTGATTGAAGTTTTTTTTCAACCAAAAGCCCTATTTCAGTACCTGAAAGAATTGAAGAAATCCATGGAAGAAGAGGGCGTTCAAATACCGGAATACTTTACTGACCACCGACTCAATGTTGTTGTGGATGCAAACATAAAATTCAGGAATCTCGCCAACTGTTTGCCACCGTTTTTGGAAGATCACAAGGACTCTCTTCGAATGGCTTTCTTCAATATTGGGGGACTAACAAAAACTGAAAAAAAAGTGAAACAACTGAAATACTTGCTTTTTAAGGCCGAGCTGGATGTTTTGTTTCTGATCGAGACACGAATTGTAAGCGACGCTTCATATGCGGCTTTGCGTGATGCTGAAGAGAATGTAAGTGAATTTGTTCTATTATAAAATGAATCTAAATAAGCTCTCAAAAAACATGAAATTTTGAAGGATCTCCGAAGCGTTGCTCGTCAAATTCACTCATCCTACCAAGAGTTTATTTATCCTGCTCGATCCAATAAAAGTGGCGGATTGATGGTGTTATTAAAAAGAGAAACGTTTGGAATAAAGAAAGCAGAAGAAAATCCTGATCTTAGCAATTTTTTTTTAACAAACCGCAAAAGGATCTTTGTGCTCGAGTGCTCGACGTGCTCGACGTGCTCGACGCTGAAAGTGAGAGCGACACTGAAGCAAAAGATGAAGAAGTTCAACAAACGCCAGGAAATAGCAAACCAAAAGGGAAAGAAAAACTCCCAGCTCACTACCATGAAGCGTGTAGCATCGAGCTGTTTGGAACTACTTACATTTTGGGTTACCGAAACAACGTTTCTGGGCGTGTTGAAGGACTAATCGATGATATTACCAATCTTCGTCCCGAAAAGGGCCCTTTTGTGATCTTGGGTGATTTCAATACAACAAATGTGAAATGGAATGATGGAGATTTTGAGTTTGATTCTAAAGGCAAACCCTCAAGGACTTTTTTGGAAGAAATTGGTCCCAAGGGAAAAATTGGTTGCAATAAACAATACATCAAAGTTGCTACATCAGGTGAAATACAAATTAATTAGTTCTTTTAAACGTCCTCAGTTCTCAACTAATTTCAGCTCTCTGTGACATAGTTTCTTTGTAAAGTAAATTACAAGATCAATTAGTGGAAAAATTCATGAATTTGACTTCACTTCAAGGGCTATGAAGTCTATATTTTTCAGAAAATAGAGTACGGGTCAAAATTATATCCCCTTCAAAAAAGTGTCCCTTATTTGGAGGTTTGTAACATTTTGTCTAGGCATCGTACAAGCATGTGTCATAGAGATTCTAAAAGCTCTTTTTTAGCTCTACAAGATGCACTATAAGACGTTTAAGAATGCAACAATTTGAGACGACTTTTAATGGTTTCAATCGTTAAAAATCAGCGTTAAAAATTGCTTTTCAGAGTGATTTTCACCTATCGTAGACACTTCGAATCAATTCTAAATTGTGTTTTTTTGAAAAGAGCACAAAAAATTGAAATCGAAACTTGGGACTTCATAGCTCACTAGACAAACAACAGCAACATCAAAAATCGTCTCAAATTGTTGCATTCTTATAGTGCACCTTGTAGAGCTAAAAAGAGCTTTTAGAATCTCTATGACATATGCTTGTACGATGCCTAGACAAAATGTTACAAGCCTCCAAAGAAGGGACACTTTTTTTTGGAGGGGATAATAATTTTGACGGTACAGTACTTTCAGGTCGATCGATGAGACCTCTGGATTTGCTTTTTGAACGAAAAAAAAACGAGGTGATACGAGAATTCTTCGTCCCATTCTTTCTTGACAGACAACGAGTTCGTGATCATGCGCCCGTTTTTTTTCTCGTTAACAAAAACGGTTGGTCAATTCATATCCTCTTATTAAAGGCAAAATTATTACAATTCAAATACATTGCAAATTACTTTTCGTTAAATTTTACATTATTACGATACGGTTGTAGTGTGAATGCAAAAGTGCCTAAACATTAATTGAGAATATAGTTTGAATTGATTGTTGTTTTCACTGTTAACATAAAAAGAAAATTTACTTTAAAAACGCTGATTTCATTCTGAGCACCCTAATATTTTTGAATCGTCGAGTTGAAATATGCAAAACAAGCAAAACCCTGGTAGTAACACACTGTGTTTATCAGGAGATTTTACACAAATATTTGATAAGCATAAAAATTTTAGAACAAAACAACTCCTCGAGTGTATTACCCGAGCTCAGTGCCTTAAACGTCAAAGTTTGTCGTTTTGATCACCACCATTGTAAAATCTCATTTAGGACAAAGAAATCTCTTCTGAAGGAAAGATAAACCCTGGCGATGCAAAGAAAAAGTCTGCTGCTGCGCCTCCAAAAAAACAAGTAAACAAAGGGAAGAAGTAATGTGTCACAAAGAGTAAAGCTGTTTTTGGTTTATGTCTTAAGTTTGTACATTTTTATCGAAATTCGCAAATTTCGAGCAAACCGATCAGAAAAATGAGTCGATCTGACAGGGGAGATAAAAAGAAAAAAGAAATGAATCATCGCATAAATTTCCGAAAATTTGTGACTCAATACTTTGTTTGTATCATTTCCAGAAAATGTTTACCACTTGTCCGGTATTCGTTTGCAACAAAATACCCATTCGTTCGCTCCCGAAATTTTGGCATTTCGCTCACATCACTATCACATATTTGCAGCAATTTTAAACGCCAATGCCACAACCGCCCTGAAATCAAAATTGGTTCTGAAAATACATCTAATGTTTCTCATAAGATAGTTCTTCGTCATCTTCAAAGTTCAAAGATAGTTTTTCGTCATCTTCAAAATATGGAAAAAGTACAAAAACTCGGATCTTGGATTCCTCATGCAGCAAACAAGGAAAAAAGATGTGAAATTTCGAAAACCCTCCTTGAGAGACATGACCAAGTTGGAGGAAACTATCGGGCTTTCTTTATCGCATTGTATTAGGTTGATGCATAAGTCTTTTCGTTTTTTTCGTACTTTTTCGTACTGTTAAAAAGTAACAAATTCACGAATTAATCTATAGTTTGCTCTATAAAAAAAGTGTTTTTTTTGTTCAATTTGCATCTTTTTAAATGAATTTCGGTTCACTTTCAAGCAAATTCGAGAGTGAAAAACGCCTTTTTCGTAAAAATCTATAAAAAACTCTACGGAAAAATTGGCTGAATGAATTTCTCTGAAATTTTGGCGAAATATCAAACTTTTTTTCTCTATCCTTTTATCTATTGACACGAAGATAGGTTTTCTTTAGCTAAGGTGTCTAAACCGCATCATCGAGTTAGCCCTTTTTGACTACCCGACTTCATACTCTCAAGAAAATCCAGGCATTAAATATTTTTAAACCCGTTTTAATGTTATTTTGTAGAAAAATAATTGGTTTTTCTAATGAAATCAACCGTAGTTTAATTCGTGCATTTGTTGGCTTGAAACGGCAGACGAAAAGGAACGAAAAGACTTATGCATCAACCTAATAACTGAAAACGAGAAATAGTGCCTCTACGTGAATTTACGTGAATACTTTGCTTTCTGCTCAATAAACGCACTTCAACAACTAATACTCAACAATTTTTCTCCACCAAAACATTCAGAGATTAAAATTTCTTGACTTCTTGGGAAAGGGATGCCGTTGGCTCTGCTTTCTCCACCGGGTTTTTGTTCTTCTTGGGAACGGTGGTCGGGATGTCGTCAGTTGCCATTGTTCTTTTCGATTCAGTGGCCTCTGCTTATTTCATTATATGTCCTTGTGTGAAAGAAGGACACGTCGGTCCAAACTCGCACAATGCACTCGGCCATTCCTCAAGCATTCCTCGATTCTACATGTCCTCTTTAGTCCTGTAATCCAGAATTGCGGATGCATCACAGAGAGAGTCTGGCATTTTTTCTGCTTTTGAGAGTTTCCTTGTGCTTATATATCATTTTCTCAACAATGAACACCCATTATTCAAGTTTTTACCAAAGGCTGATCGAAATTTTTTATTACAAAATTTAACAAAAGGATTTGAATTTATTTGGATCACCATCAAAGATTTCGCGAATTCCCGAGAAATTCGAGAAGATCCGAATTGAATCAAATTCGAATTAAATCCAAAAGAAAAGTGAAGTTCCTTTTATTACTTTTTAGAGTTTTTATTTGCTTAGGAATAGAATTGATAGATTTTGAATCGTTACTGTGTCTACTATCTACTGGATTGTGTTTAAAATAAGTCTAGGTGTAGTTCGAAGATGACTTATTTAGAATATTGGTTTATTCAGAGCATTCAAAGAGAAGAGAACATGCATTTACGGTTATTTTGTAGAGGTGATGGAGTGATGGGTGGAGAGAGTTTTGCAGGGTGTAAGCAACAGGATGATTGATGCAATCACCTATAAATGACTGATTGCATTATTTATTAGCTACTTTCTTAGCTCTCGGATTTTCACAACGCAAACCATTCACTATTTGCAGATTGGGGATAAAAATACCGTTAAGCAAAGAATTTTTGGATTCATCAATTCCTATTCAAGGGATCAATCATACAAAATCATTTGCCTGTCGAAAAACAGTCGAATAATAAGCCATCATTAAAATGGGATATTTTTCTTTAATGTAAAAGTAATTCTGAAAAAAAATATGAAAGAAAATGAGCTTTTAGTCAGTTTCAAAAGAGAAAACATAGGTGTAATTTATTTTGGTTTTACTCTTAATGACTTCGCAATCTTGAAAGCCAAAAAGTCGTCAGAGGCCATAAACTGTTCATCACAATCAACCTTTAATGAATCTATCAATTCCTTCTCCAAACAATCGACAGTGATTGATTTAGATTCAAATCGATGAATTCTAGCCAATTGTCTCGCAGAGCAAGGATGGATAGTTCATCATTCGAACTTGGAGGGATTGAACTCGCAATCTTGTTTGGAGAAGAATTAATGGATTCAATCAATCAATCAATCAACAAATGCTAACCATTTGGCTACATGATCATTGTGGCAGGTTGAAAAATGGCTAACAAAACTGGTTCTGAAGTAGGACAAGGTGATTAGAAAACTTCGACATGCGCCTGAAAGTTTTAAAGGTAAAAGTCTTTCCTTTGTACGCTTACCGAAAGAATTGTCGGCTGATCTTGTGAAAAATCTTTTGGTTGAGGAGTGGCGATGAATTGAATCAATGAAAGCTCATAGTCCTCAAAGAAATTGAATCTTCAATGATTCAAAATTTCCTCCACTACCCCTTTGTTCCTTTTTTCATCTCTAATACTCTCTGGATAGATTTCCTCGCAAATCCACTCACAAAATGATTTCAATTTTCTCAAAGAACTGCTGCCAACAATAGCACCTAAAGAAATCAAAATTTCAAAAGTTCAAACTTTAAAATTAAAGCTCTGTTTTGAACTTTCGAAATTGACCCTTGTTCTCGTGATGATGTGAATCGAAGAGTGAAACAATTTTTGTTCTCTGATCAATGACAAGAAGTGTAGCTCGTCTGTAAGCACTTATCACAAGGAAAAGCCAATTTAGAGTTTTCAATTCAGAACTAAATAGATGTTAAAGTTATGATGCTCTTTAAAATGTGACCTTTTCAAAACAAGCCGTAACTCTTTGATCAACGTCTTTGGCATCGGATTCCTTTGAGAAATGTAATCAATCTAACAAAAATAAAGAAATTCTAACAATTCTAAGAAATTTGTCAGCTTAAAGTACCTCTTTTAACTGATTCCCACAAAAGTTGATAGCTTGAGCGATTGTGAAATGCAATCGCTTATTCTTTTTTGATCTTATTTTAGCCTAAATAAGAGGAATGAAGAATTTTAGATTTTAAAACATCATAGATCAGATTTCCATCAAGGATCGCATTTGCGAAAGCGTAAAAGAGACATTTCGAAAGTTGTATGAGTTGCTGAATACACAGAATAACTCAATAAATTACCGGATTTTCTCTAATAGTAGTGCACCCCGGCAGCGGTGATGCGATTTCGGTTCGAGTTTCACAGAAGCTTACACCACCCTAGACAGCACCCACGATAGGTTCTCAGCGTTCTCGAGTTTCGAGGAGGTGCGCCCACGGTCCAGGAAAGTTTCACTGGACCCCGGCGAGCCGAGTTGATGACTATTTTACGGTTTCCAAGTTTTTGCCAGAAGCTCAACACTCAAATCCCCCACAAGATCTCATCGTCAGCTACATTTTCCGACCCCACATCGATAGGTTCTGATAAGCGCTTTTCGAGATTTCGAGCAATTTAGGCGACGCTCAGGGTTCTCACTACTATTAGAGAAAATACGGTAATGATAGATACTACATTTTTCTCTTTTCTTGTTGATCTTTTGAGGGTAAATTTCGTTTTCTCGACTTTCGGTAAACTGATGCCGTCTCGGTAAAGATTCTCAGCCAACTGAAAACATTGAATCAATACTTCATGACTATACAATACTGGTTTATCTCTTAAAACTCAACAACTTATTCCGAAATCTATTTTTGATCCAAATTACAGTAGTTTTGAGACAAGAAATGTCGGATGTGTGATCATGATGATGTTTTGATCTTCTTTTCTTTCAGATTCGTCTAACTTTCCCTTGTAATAAAGTTTAAGAACACAAGCTTACATTTAAAATCCTTTACAACTATTTTAGAAATACTTTTATTGCAATGAGTGTGCAAGCATTGGATGGCTCGATTCTCCCAGCCAACTGCTCTTGCTCAAATTCTTCAGAAAGTCTGAACACGAGAACTCCCTAAAGGAAAACGGTTAATTCTGAGGGAAGATATTGTTCATTATCATTATCATTAATAATACCTACATAAAAATAACAAATAATAACTTGATCTATAGGAGAAATCTAAAACAATACAATACTATTGTAGCAATATGTTATATGCGGTTATGATTATCTGATTCGCTTCAAATAAAGCATATATAGCATATGTCGTAGCCGCTTAAGAAATTCAGCCGCTAACGAATGATTCGTTAACGGCTAGCTGTTAACGAATCATTCGTAATCGTCTAGCTGTTAACGAATGATTCGTAATCGTCTAGCTGTTAACGAATGATTCGTAATCGGTTAGCTGTTAACGAATCATTCGTAATCGTCTAGCTGTTAACGAATCATTCGTTAGCGGCTGAATTTCATAAGCGGCTACGACATATATAATAGTTTAAGTACCGGTTTCTCAATTTTCCCGATCGGAAACGGAGAAACTTGTGAAACTCGGGATTTAGGCATCTAGCCGCAAAAACAATGAATAGAATCCGGATTTTTAAATGTCATTTTGATTTTATAGGTCCAAATTTCGAAAAGCTTTTAAGATATTCAGTTTTACTATGGAAATAATAATGGGCGGGTCTTAACTCACAGTCATAATTGCTTTTAAAGCTTCAATTTTCGAAATTCAAAAGCTTTCTGAG